CGTGTATCTATATTTAATATTTATAATTAAAAGTTTACCTAGTCAAGTTTCAACACTTCTCACATCTTACGGTACAAAGAAATTCGTGTACTCAAAAAACTTATTCACAATTTTTTAATAATTTATATTATTGTGCATAAATAAAGAATTATTGTTAAGTATAGAATCAGTGAAAATGATACTATAAAAACAAATTGTTATATTGCGTTATATTATCCTTTGTTATAACATTTTCGCGAAGAATAACGCGATTATTATATTATATCATCGAAGTTATAGTATTATAACGATATGACGGTTTTGATAATAATTTACAATTCTGAATTACGTATAATTTACGAATATGCGAATATATCCAAGCGGATAATATGACAATTATTATTATGTTGTCCGTGTCACCAATTGACTCGAAAACTCCGGAGTCGGGGAAACTCTATGAAAACTGTCGGGGCAGTGGTCTGAAAGGACGGCGGAAGTGAGGGACATACATGTCACTAGTCTAAGTTTCGACTTTAAACCCACCGTGTATGGTGCAGCCCAAAACTGTGGAATTAAATTGAAATAATTTAAGCCCCGTTTTCATATTATTACTAACATTGCCGACACAGAATAACATAGGCAAAATCCATTGTTTAAATCAAATATCTAATATTTAATACGGAGTAGGGTTCAAATTCCATAGGGTGTGGAAAAATCCCCTTGTTTCTGCCGTTGAGATGATACTATACGAATTGTATATTCGTGTAGCGGTGAAAGTCACTTCGTAAAAAATGTCCTTGGAAATATTTTAATGTGCTCCACAACTTTTTTTTTTTTTATGATTCAGAGCCGAATGAGAAATGTAATATTATTGGTTTTTCAACTAAATATATACACTGATTTTTGTTTGTTTCTCTTTGTCCGGTTTGTTTAATTAAGCAATTCGTTCTTCCATATAGGCCAACAAACTAAAGTAAAACAAACATACCTTCAGTAGTCAAATTTCTATTTTTAAAAATGATTGAACTCCGTATAATTTTGTCTATGTTTGTAAGAAATATAAAAACAAATAGTTATATTCATCATAAACATTAATTTAATTAAGTAAATAAAAATACTAACATATGTTTCCTACACAACATTATATGACTTATCAAATAATTCAATTATGGTTTCAAAATTTAAATTGGACTAGTCATATTGGGTGAATTTAACTCCAGTTTATAGATCTAAAACGTCTTATTTGTTTGTAAAACAATCCTATCTCTTACTCATTAATGGACATCGAGTAATAGATTAGTGGACGAGTTTTATCTTTGAGGTGGCCGTTAAAAAAGGTGAAAAATAATTTTCAACATTTTACAAAATTGAAGAAATTTTAGTAAAATCGTTTTAAACCCCCTAAATATAAGATTGTGGTTTGGACAAAAAATGCTTCCTCTAAATTAGAGTTTTTGTTATAATAGAAGAGTAGCATTTTTGAAGAAGTTAGGTTCTAAAATGTTAGTATCTTTATGGGGGACCAAAATAACTTCGCGTGTTATAAGTAGTATTCTATTAATGTAAACATATAAAAAAAATAATAATCTTAGAAAAACCATGGAATTACCTCCGAAATTTTCGCTATTTAAAATTATATACCTATAGTTTAAACATTGTTCAGATTAAACATAGATATTACGATATTTCGTCGTATTATATTGTTACTTATATTTATTTGTGTGTGTATTCACTTAGTTTGATCGCTTTGTTCAATATCAGAATACTACGGACGTACTTATATACGGATTCAATTCAATACAAAGTGCAACTACTTGCTGTCTATAATATTCGTGGCAAATTAATTTTGCTAAATGAAATAATCAAAACAACGTATACTAAATAAATTCTACTACGTTTCAATTATATACAAAGGTAGTTTGTATTCTTCAAATATAATTTTCTTTAGCATCATGTGCATATTTAAACAAATATACTGCTATATAATTATACAACAGGTAGTAAAATAGTAATAATAATAATAATAATAATAGACCATTACTGTTTTATTTCATTACATTTGAAAACTGTTATTTAGATTTACTCATGAAATAAAATACTAATGTCTACAGACATTAAACATATATGCACATTTTATTTCTGTGATAACATTTTCGAATATAATAATTGATATACTAATCACATTTTTATACTTCGATAATTAGAACAATACTCTTGTGTAAATATGCGAAGTTTAAGAAATTACAGCCATGCAACAAAAAGAAGCCAAAGAGCTCTTCGAGAAAAAAGTGTGAATAAGTGAATCTACAACATATGTGGTGCCAACGCAAATTAATGGAGAATTAGATTCAATAAAGAACTGCAGAAAGAAGTGGGTTACTCGAACCAGTTACTGGCTATATAAAGGATCAAATAATAATAATAATAATAATAAAATAGTTGGCATATATTTCAATGAGAAGAAGCGGAGAGGATATTAGTTTAACTATAAAAGTAGTAATTCTGCAAGATTCCCAGAGGCAGACCACGGAATTAGATGTAGCACACTATAGATTAAGACTGGTACGTTGCAGAGAGACGGGGCAATGTTGGTGGCGAAGATAAAATAAAATTCCGATAATGATATTCGTAGTACTATCATAACTCAATAGTTCAACTGTCTCGGTATTTCTGATATAATTAGCATATACGTACATAATAGTAACATAATATTATAAATTTAAAATTATTAAAAAGAATCGACCTTTTACAGAATAGACATTTTGTATTATCATACTGTTGAATAACGATGTCATTACATCTGCATTGTATTGGCTGAAGTCCAATTTTATGTTGGTGCTCTTAAGTTGATTGCTAACATAAATCTGTATAATATTTACTCATTATTGTAATTTAATAATATTATAATATTCATATTGTGTAGGTATAGTTGAAATTTTAGATTTCCGCCAAGACAATAAATCTGAAAATCTGCTGATATATTTTATCATTTTTTTATTATTATTCTGAACGTACCAAGGAATGTGTTGGCTTAACTATTTAAATCTAGTCATAGTTGGTGTACTAAAGAGGATATATTTTGTTTATTATACTCGACGTTTTCTTTGTTATTGGGAAAAACGGAAACACATAAGGCATTACGGTTTAATTATTTTCGATTTTATTTATTCGTTGTTATTCAGTTAAAAATGATCGCAGTGACACAAAATTTGCAAAGACCACTAATATTGGTTTTTCTAAGAAATTATAACGATACAATAAAACCGAAAATTATGAAATTTTATCTCTGTAAAGTTAACAGTGTACACTTTTCCGTTTTCCTGTATGATTTTTCCTAATTTTAAGATAAAAACAAGGAAAATCAAAAAATTACCTCTTCAACACACCATAATTATAAAATATGGTTTCAAAAAAATTGCTGTAGTTAAAAATTAGCTACATATTTTAGATGGAAAAATAAGTAGAATAAAAGTTCTCGCCACGCAGAATCTAAAATATTAATAAATATAATTGTACAATTTTGTTTTAGTAAAATTGGTTTTTAGAATAATTAAAAACATATTTACATTAAATGGCCTTCAAACCAATTATATTTCGTTATAATGAATATTCATGACAGCGAAGTTAAATATTAACACTAGTCATATTATTAAACCGAAAGGCTTCACCGTGGCGGGTAAAACGGGATTAGTTTGTCGTCCGAATAACACCTACAAATATCGGGCTGGTATGATAATAATATCGAATATGTAACCGCCTATAAATACAAGACCAATCTAATATCTGTTCAAATTATGGAAATATTCGGATTAAACACGACAGAATATTGTATCGAATAATATTTGATATTTCTGTTAGATTATAATAATATTATAAACTATAAGAACTGTTGCAAACGCAAATAAAAGTAATCAGTATAAGTAATCGATCGCCCTTAAAATTCGTTTTTATATCTTAAAAATTGTAATGATTTTTAAATTTTATCAAGCATTAAGTGTATACCGATGTTTTTATACACTATTACACTTACCTACTTAATTTGTAACTTTAATTACATTCACTATGTACCTAACGATAAATAATTTATTATTATTGACATGCGCGATGAGTAAAGATTTTAATTTTTTTTTTATATATTCTTTATTCATTTATTCAAGGTCGTATGAAAATAAAAAGTTTGATATTATTGATGGTATAGCAATTAACAGTAAAAATTTAAAAAAAACGTTACAATTAACGAATGAACCCATTCAACTAAAAAAAAGAAAAAAATAAGGAATAAAATTTAAATATACTTGAAAAAATTGAAGAAATGAGAACACGTTTTTTTTATTAATATTTTGTGTGTTTCAACAGAGTAGGTTTATGCAATTATTTATATTCATTCGCAATATTGTATCCAATATAAAATGTACTTGGCTTAATTAATTAGGTCAATTTGTCTAATTAGTGTTTGATGGTGTGTAAAATGGAAATGAAATTGAATCACTTAATAAACTATATATACGAACACAATAGGGTCAGTGAATAATTCTACTCAGATTACCGAGGTAGGTATAATGTTTTGATAACAAATTACTTTTAATGAACAGTTCATATGGAATACGTAGTTATCACTTAAATAATGTATATAAAAGTATACATTGTACAAGTAAATAATTTATTAATTATAAAATGTTAGGAAAATGCACAATAAAGTTTCTATGAAAATATGAAAATGCAATTGTTTTAATTCGATGGACTGTTATAAATCACCGAGAGATCATAATAATACATTGACATTTTTGAAAAATCTATAAGAAAAAATTATATTTTCTCAGGCAAATTTTAAAATAGAAAAAATTATATAAATCAAAGGTGCGTGAAAAAAAAAATGCTGGAATAGATCTATGGTGCTAAAACAGATGTTTACATTTCAAAAAATATAATTTGTATAATATTATTCACATTAATATAGTAATAATAAGGAGGTACCTATAGCAGAGTCAGTAATACAATATTATTATCTATTGTTTGGGAAAATTTGCATTAATTTAACACATACGCTACAAACGATAATATCTGCACAGACTTTATTTCGCGGAGTTAGATTCTTCGGAGATTTTACCACGATGAGATAAAAGTCAAAGCTAATGTTTCTCGATATAGATAAAAATTGTGGTGGTTAAGGGGACAGTGTATGCCAAGTTTTTTTCTCACCATCTCAAAAATCTTTTTTAAATTATTCTGCCTTGTAGATTAGTCTTTTTTTTTTTAGATTTGAAGTATAGCGAGGGATCTTTAGAGTTTAGTGTGTGCGTTTTTAATTATTTTTTTTTGTCAGTTAACAACTTTTCGAGAAAAGGTCTCGTAAAATATAGTAAATAAATAGAAATAAGTAAAACGACAGATATTTACGGGGTACCGCGGCATTGCCAATTTCATTGATTTTAATTTTTGGAACTTATATGTATTCTACCAGAATTATTGTTTTAATCGAAAAAAAATATAAGAGACCGATTTTATTTCTTTTATTATAAAACTGCTGATAAAGATAGTCGTTTTTTGATATCAAAAGTATTTTTCATAAAAATTGAGAAAATCCAAAAAATACGAAAATAACGAATTTTTAAAATTAAAGCACAACGATTATATTATTTAAAATTATTACGGATAATGTTTTTCACAAAAATATTGCTCTAATTGAAAAAAAACATAAGGTACAGGAAAATTTATGAAAGTAATTTGTTTATCTTTTTAAACGTTGTTTTTTTTAATGTAGTTCAGAAAAAATATTCGTAGGGACTTGAAGTTTTGATATAAAACTTATATTTTAATTTTACGAGTTTTTTATTTAGTACAATGGTACTTTGTGTATTAAATTATTAAACTAAATAAAAAGGCTTGAAAAGTTGACAGGAGGTTCATTAAAAGTCGCATTTAGTGGTAAAACATAAAATTATGTATTGTAGTATTTTTTTTATAAGAGATTTAAATTCAAATATTAATAGAAATCATGAATATTATGGGCTTTCAAAATATGAATAACCAAACTTCGTTATTCGTTTTTCGTCAACAACGATTTATCGTTAGTTACAAGCAATAAATTAAATAACATTTTGTATCCCACTTTCTCAACTATCCACATACAACAGTGGTTGCGCCCATTATCAGTGTCAGTTCTTTTTTTTATTTTGGATAGATGAAGACTTCATCAAGACGGAGTTTTTAACGTAGTCATTAGACATGAATTTTGAAACTTTTACTACTAAACACTATTTATATATTTAGATTATGACCTATTTCTATCATTTTTTTTTTTTTTTTTGGTGGTTTTTATTTTTTGATATTCTACTCTAGCCCCTAAGATTGATTTCGCAATTTACCATTATTTTTCTATTTTTCTCTATCAACAGCTAGCCTATTAAATTCTCTGTAGCTTGCTAGTGCCACATCATAAAAAAAAAATCATTAACATTGTTTTGCACATACTATTTCAATGTATGTGAATTGAAATTGTTTGATCACGTGAAAAAACTATAAACAATATAGGGATCATTTTTTCAATCCATATTATATTATTATCTGTGTTAACTTTAAAAAAATATAAATAAATAAAATACAATTATAATTATAAAATACACGGGTATTCAACTCTTTATAGTTTTTATAATGGCTACAAAATATCGTAGGTATATAAAGACGTCTAGGCATTGGTATGATATTTATAGTATTCGCATTATTATTATTTTACGCTCTGTAGCATCGCCTCGTTAAAATAATACCGTCAAAAGTCAAACACCGCCGGCGACCCAGTAAAACTTATAAGTCGATTTTAACAAATTTTGTTAAACTCTGACAAGAAAACTGTTACTAGGAAAATTATGGAAAAATTAAAATTGACCTTTTCAACACGAAAATTATAACAAATTTATTACAATGAGTTTATATGAAGTTTTTGACTGGCGCAAAATTTCTGACAAAAAAGTGGTTTACAAAAATCCAACCGACGATATAATATAGAAAAGAATCTAATAAATTGCGTATTATTATTTGTAGATCAACATTATAAATATAACAATAATATATTTTACTCTCAATCGATGTCTCCCTCGAAGATAAAACGATTGAAAAAAAAAATCGAAAAAAATGTAATATATACAGCGCTAGAAAAATCCGTGATGATACTCCATGATAAATATAATACTAACGGAAAAAAGAATATATATACATGATATTTTTCTAAATATATATGCGTCAATGTTTCACATTTTAAAGTCGTGTTAATCTCTAAATACGTATTATTATAATATATGCTGAACAATCATTACGGTCAAATCGTGTTTAACCTTTACCACTTTTTGCCGCGTTTGAAAAAAATTACAAAATCCGAAAAAAAAAAAAATGTATATACATAATATGTTTAAAAAAATAAATGATAACGACCCTGGAAAATGTTATTTATTAAACGAACGTGTTCTTGCGGTATGGCACGTTTTTCATTTTGTCACCCCGGATTTTTCTTTCCCCGTTCGTTTTTAAGGTCGAAAATTATTTTCTCTCGGCTTTTCCGCTGTAAATATACGATAGCATCGTATGCCAACACCCAAAGAAGAAGAATTAAGAAAACTATATATACCTACTTCGAAAAGCCTCTTCGGTATTACTGACGACAGCGACCAGAAAACTCTCTGTCAAAAGTTTTCCGATCGTCAAAATCTGGTTACCCGCATACAAATAGGTTTATAATATTTCCGGTTACCAGCAAGTAAAATGTAAGTTATTATTTTTACAACGTCGGATATCATCTTCGTCATCGTCATAATATGTTCTGTAGTAACACTACAATTAAACATTCAAATGTTTTTTATGCAATTTTTTAAAAATTGTAATCTTTTTACACGAATGTTGCTTGACATTTTATGCGGGTGGTCTTTTAATAATATCTCGTCCTCCAGACCTCTGTATAATTTGTATCATTAATTAAAAGTTATTATACCTCATGATGAACGCCCCCTTTGCGTATTCAACGTCAAAATAAATAATACTGCAGATAACTCGTAATGCGAAGGAGAAAAAACGGCCTATGTACCGAAAAAACTGTGGTACTCTTTATTTGTAAATTTTATATGGTTTTTTAAGGTTCATTTATTTTATAATTAGAACGAAAGCCGAGAATCATAATATGCCAATCAAAAGGCGACCGGGACTCGTCATACTCTGTTTTTTTATTTTGTGATTAAGTTCCCCTTAAAAAGCAATTAACTCGAGGCTTACAGTAGGAAAACACCTAAACCCTCGTACTCTACCACGAATAATTACATAAAATATTTATATTGTTTTGTATACACAGATTGTGTATTATACTATGGTTGAATTTTATCATTTCGATGTAATTGCAAAATTTATCTTCGTTCTCTCCTCCTCTACTACTATTACATTTAATCGCATACAAATGAGTCGTAACGAGATAATTCCAAGTACCTATAAAGATCCATTTTTATTTACACGAATAAAGGACGTCTTTTTAACATTTAAATACGCGCTGAACTTACAAGAGGTTACGGAATACACAACATTAATATTATAACTGTAGAGGAAGAAAAAAATGATTTAATGTGTTATTTACCTATATTATTTTTTTTTTTTTACGATCATGGCTTATATAAATATTTTACTTGAAAATTTATTTCATATGTAGTATATTAAAACATAAACAGTTTGTTTAAAAAAAAAAAAAACACTTTATTAGTTGAGAAGTTTGAAAGGAATGGAACTGTAGAATATACAGATTAATTCAATTTAACCGGAGTAGTATTAATATAATTATTCGTATTTTTTTCACTCCATTATAATTCAGAAATATACTAAAACAAAATCGATGTACCGATAAGATTTGTTGTCAATATTTATGTTTTATTTAAAAAAGTTAAGAATCTAGACATTTTATTTTAAAATTAAATACTTAGTTTATGATTTTTGCAGATGATATCGTTTTGATGGGAGAAAATCTGGCAGAAATTAACAATAGGCTTAAGAAATGACGAAAAGCACTTGAATAAAAAGACCGACATATTTCACAAAATATATAGGCCACTGTTGTAGGTGGGAAATTTAATGTATTTTTGTATTCAACGATTAATAGTTACTAATGAACAACCATTCTGAGTAAAATTCGGTTACACATATTTTAAAAAGCCGTAATACTTAAGATTTTTGTTAAAATTTGATTCCTATTAATATTCATATAAAAAAAAAAGGACTAGACTAAACTCAACTTTTTCTTGTTGGCCACTAAGTACCAATTATAATGAACATTCTGTTAAATTTGCAAGTGTTTGTGTTTGATCTAACAATATTACTTTATAATATTACGTTATTACGTTACAATATAAGGTTCTGTCCACATTTCAAGTCTCTTCGATCATTTTGAACTAAGTGACAGTAAAAAAATGAAATAAAAAATTATTTTCGTAAATTTTCCCTTTTTGGGGGGGTTTTCCCGATATTATGAAAACCACTTGGAAAATTAAAAAAATTACAAAAAATAGTTAAATGTTTTAAAAATTTGACTACGTCTATATAAGATAAATAAAAGGTTTCTATCTAAATTTCAAGTCTATACGAACATTTTACACTGAATTAAAATAAAAAAACAAATTTAAAAATAATAAAATCATTATATTTTCGTAAATTTTCCCGTTTTTCATACTTTTTATCACAGTTTTTCCCAATTTTTTCGAAAATTACATGGATAACCATAAAACTACGTTCTTAAAGTATTACTCTAGGAAAATTGTCTTTTAGAAAATTTCCTACACTTGAAAATTGGAGTAAGTTTGCTGGTAAAATTTTTAAACACAGTACAAAAAAAAAAAAAAATAACACTATTGTAAAACCAATATTCCTTACTACGATCAGAAACTAAAGGGTTCTGAGAATAAGTTGAACAGAGTATATAAAATATTTGTTTGGAGGGAGAAGACAATAGGTTGATAGAACAAGACGTGTAATGTTAGTACGCGTTAGCGTAATATACGAGGTTGAAAGTTTTAAGTAACTAGAATATTTTATACAAAACAACGGTGGCTTTGACGAGAATGTTATACATAGGATTTACTATCCATCCACTATACTTATAGTTGAATAACGTGGAAAGAAGCATCAGGTGTTTTATGTAACAAACAATTTTAATGAGACTTACAGGTAAGTTTTAAACAGTGTGAAACCGACTATGTTATTGAACCTGGAGTATTGGGTAATAGATAGAAAAATAGAACAGAAAATTCGTATAGCGGAAATAAGAATGAATAGAAAAATAAGTGTAGCGTCGTTAGAATATAGTTTATTCAATGACAGTTAAATAAGAGGTAGCATAGACTTGACTCTAGAAGTGAACAAAATGAGAGAAAATATGCTGAGATGGTTTGGGCGTCAAGAGAAAAAAGAAACGAAAGCGGTAAAAATGATAATTAAAATAAATATAGAGGGAAACCGAATAGGATGACCGACAAAAATGTTGCTAAATGCGTTTGAGAATGTTAAGATGACAGTTAATGTATTCAAGAATGAAGTGAGAGATTGGATCAGGTGGAATTTTAGTAAACGTTAGCTGACCTAAAATGACTAGGACGAAGGCGAAGGAAAAGTAAAGTACCTACCACATTCGGAAACAAATCCGTATCTTTTCAAATTCAGCGTGATGGTACTGGAGAATTTTTATAAAACAAGAATGTGCGAGAAATAAAAACAAACACTATATCTTAAAACAGTGGTGTCCAACAATAGCTCGTGAGCCAAATCCGACGTGCGATCATTTATTAATCGACTTACCAAAGTATGAAATCAAAATTGAAAAACAAAATAACTTTTAATTTCAAAAATTAATACTCACATTAAAAGAAGATATGTTTATAATTTGCATTTTTTTCTCATTTAAAACAATCAATATATAAAAAAATGTATCCTGTACCTATATTAAGATAAACTACTTTAAAGTAAAAGTTTAAATTCTTAACTCATCAAGAATTATTGTTTTATTGCCTTCTCTGATTGGTCACCACCGTTTTAAAGTAAAAATAATATAGCTTCTTCGTTATACTCAGAATCTAATAAAAAAAAAAAAATGTTTTTTTTTTTTTGTGATATCGAACATTACAATAAAATAAAAATATTAACCTCATTTAAACACAAATAATACAGTTTTTGATGAACTCTTGTCAGGATCGAATATAAATTATATCCAGGTATTAGGAATATATATTATAAGCGTAAATAATCTTTGAGTATAATATAATCATTGATTTTGATTTTTATATATACCATACAAATTTTACAAGAGTAAATAATCGTGTATGATTCAATATGAGTTCTTTATCGACTGTTTTGTAAATAAGTAATAAAATAAGTAGGAATACCAACAAAAATATCAGGACATTTTTTTATTATATTTCAAATTGTATATACTATTCACCTACGATACTAATGTAACCAGAATAGTGAATAACTGAAATTAACTGGAGTTACAAATAATATTCAACTGTAAAATAATATGGGAATTTATTAAAACACATACTAAATTGCAAATTAAATCGATTTCGTTTGTATTCAAACTGCCAGTACGTAGCTGTTAATAATTTTATTGGACTATTTTATTCCTTATACGGTAAATTTTGTATTTTTTACGTATGTATTAACATCATCGTGAGTAAAAATAAATAAATAATTTTATCAATATCAATGAATGAAGGAAAAATGAAATTTTCGTTCCATTTTGTAATACTTTTATTGCTTCTTCTTTTATATTTTATGTGATAAGTATTTTTCAACGACGAGTAATTTTTTTCCTGGACATACAAAAAGATATAAAAAAAAAAAAACCGAAACGAAATAAAAAAAACCGCTTTAAGTAGCTGTATTCGTTGAACTAGTATAAGAGAATGTTTAATGACCCGTGATTCCTGTCGGCTGCACTGTTAAAAGGCTTAAAGTGAAATGTGTCTTATCACTGAAATCATCAATCTCAATACGACCGACGATGACGACGGTAAGAATATACATATTCTATATCTTGATTTAAAGGGTAAAAATAGAAGGGAAAAAAAGATCGGCAATTTTTAATAATTTAAATAAAAGATTCGCATACAAAAATTATATAGCCTAAAAGGAAATTCGTTTACGTAAGCAGTCGAGACAAGTGCCTTTTGATGCGATTTTCGTTTTTTTTTCTTCTTTGTTATATAGGTATATTATAATTTTTGATGTTTTTTTTTAAATTGATCATAATGAAAAGAATTCGTATATTTTCACGTTTAAAAAATAAAATAATAACGGAGGTGCACCAATATTTGAGAGGTTTCATTAGACACGAAAAAAAATCCGCTATTTGTGAATTTTATAGGTTGTATTTTATATTTATTTTATCGAGACAATACGCGATTAAACTAATATAATATAATACATTATGTTATTAAAGACGCCACAGAATAGAATATTTTGTATTTTCCGAGAAAAGTTGTAATAAAATTCGAGATACAATTTTTGTTCTATATACAACGTGATTCTTGTTACGTTAACAATTTCACGAAAAGAAAATAATGTAGGTTTATCGGAATTATATTCTTAAATGGGCTTAACAGTTAGAAAATTTGAAGATGGTGGTAGTATTAATTAAAAAATCATAATAAAAATGAAGAAAATAATGATGGTAATACAAAATTTTAGAAACACGTGAATCTTTTAAATCCCCTAAAAATAAAATATCGATATTCTCCTAATATTAAATAATATTCAGTTTTAAAAAGAAATCACCCCGGATACAAAGGTCAGGTTAAGTTATGTTATCTATAACACATTTGAAAATTAGTTATAAAATCAAAATGTCAAAGAAAAAATTAACAAAATAGTAAAATATTTCTCGTGCCTTGCTTCATCCAGTGATTACTCGAATATCCTATGGACTTTAAATAATATATTTTTAGTCATAAATATTTTGAAACTTTAATCTCACAAAGGGTACATTCGGTGCCTGCTATGAAATTTGTATTTATCTCGACCTTTTACGGTCCCATAAGAAATTTTTCTGCTTAAACTAACTCCCTTCTTTTAAATCTATCTACAACAGTGGTCCCCACTAGGATTCTGGGAAAAGCCAAATATAATTTTTGAGAAATTCTTGTTAGCTGTATGCAGTAAATTATTTCGAATTGACCTGAAAAAAGTTATCTACGTTAGTGTATTTTTTGTTATAGATAACATGTTTCCTCATACCTATTTGTGAAACTAATAATTCAATTTAAGTTAAAAATATACAGATGAAATGAACAGAAACAATTCGATAATTTTTTAATAAAAGATATTGTATCAATTTTATCATATTTACTCTTTAAAGGTATAAAATGTTGGATTTTAAAATGTAAAATTCAATTGTAGATGTTTAAGTACGGGTCGTCCAAAATTTGTTAAAGGGCCTCATAATGGGATGATCGTTGATTTATGCCATCCTCCATTATTCTTATTCCCCAAATTCATTTCTCTAAGTTGTCTTTAACTCTGTTTTACCAATGCTGTATAGAGTGATCTATATTAGATCTGTTCCCATAAACCGTTTATACCAGATAGGGTTTTCTTCACGTTTGGCCTCCAGATATGATCTGCAGCACACTTGATTCGTTTTCTTATTAGGCAAGCATCATAAATACTGGGAATTCCTTATAAGGTGAAGGGATATTAAATTTAAAAAGACTGCCCCTAATTTAAATTTGATTAAATATGTTTTAGAAAATAACTATAATATAAGTTTTGATATTAATACAGACTTTTAAATATTAAATACCCAAAAAAACATTTACATTAATTCAGTTTTTTTACAAATTACATATACACAGTGAAATAATTTCAATAATATTTTAAATGTTCAAACCGTTTTTAAAAATAATATCTCATATCAATGCATTTTAGATAATAAATAATAACCAAATAATTTATATTTCTTAACATATCTATGTCTAATTATAACTAATTTTAAATAATCTCTCCTGTTAAAATAAATAATTTTTACATTCTATGTAAAACTACCAATTTGTGTATATTTTTTTTTTTTTTTTATGTATTCTTTCATTTAGTTTTTTATATTCAATCGCGTTTTACATTTTGACTGTGATATACCTGATGATGATTTTTTAATTCGAAACAGGCCGTATAATACACTTATCATAATACTACAGGCGACGCATTGATTAATTAAATAATTTTATTTGTATAATTATATATTTATTATTGATATATTTGTTTACGATATTAAATTATCACGTGAACAGAATAGCTTTATGTAATGTGTATAGAAAATAATTATAGCTAATAAATTATTGTAATATCTATTACAGTAATAGAAGGTTCATAAAGAGTGTAACTAATATTTAAATTGACGGGATTTTAAATTTGCTATAAAATATAATAATATATAATAATATAATTTTTTTTCTATCTTATAAAACACGTTTTCCAGAAATAAACATAATATTCAAAAGTTTTTTACGCAGCAACTTTGCAGACATGAATATTTGAACACAGGTGGTATTCGAAAAGGTATAAAAACTATTCATATTTCTCAGTTCGACGCTTTCAGAATGTGCTAAGCACGTTGCGCAAGCGTTAAAATATGAATTCTTTACTCGACTCCTTATCGTTTTGGCGAATGTGCGAAAATTCGTGTATAAATTTAAAATATTTATACAATATCGCAATATTTTAACGCACTTGACAGTCGTCCAATCGAATCGATTAACCAACATCACATAATATGATTATTGTATATTTAAAAACCAATTATAATCAGTATGGTCTCAAATACTCTGGGAAAAAATCAAAAACCGTTTAGATACACAATATCAAATTTGTCGTTAATATTTGACTATCGATAGTAGCAAGGAATATATTATTGGTTTTACTATGATGTGAGTATTATTTTACTTATTTTTTATTTTTTTTTTATCTTACAACAAAACTAATTTTCTACCGGAAATAATGTTTTAATTTTCGAGTATAGCATATTTTCTGAAAACAAATTGTACTCAGTTGGTGCACTGAGAAATTTATGTTTAGCTTTTCCAGCAGTTTTCTTAAAAAATCAGAAAAATTTTCTACAAATGTAGAAAACACGGAAAAATGTACGTCCATACCGATTTCATTGTTTTCGATTTTGTTTTGTAAATATATTTTAATTCGTTTAAACATAGTTATAGAAATTTCCACAGAATACTCATATTGATCTTTTTTAGACGTGGTAAAATTGTTAAAACATTTTGATTTTTGAATTATTTAAAGGCATTTGACACTTTCTAGAGTTTTATTTGGTTTTAGGTTTTTTTTTGATTTTAATGTACACATTTTGACGAAAACCATAAAGATTATGGTATTTTGTTGAATTGAAAATGTATCATAATATTATTTACGATTGTTACCCGTTATAAAAAATAAAAATAACATATATACTAAATATATTGTATAATTCAATATTTTTAAGTACGCGTGTACGTATAATAATAATAAGTAGATATATTATTTGTATGTTATTTATACGTTTCCACGCCGTTTAACCTATCGACAACATTACAAGACCAAGTCATAATTCCGCGAAAGTTATAGTGCACATTAAACAGAACATTTTTTTTTCTTTTTGTATTATACGTTAAGTGTGGAGAAGGGCGTTACTACTATATAAAGAGAAAATAAAACATAATAATATTTTTGATCGGATACCGAATAGAGTCGAATAATATCACATGTGTATGTCTTATTCAAGTAATATAGTATAGCTACGAGTAAGCGCAAATATATTTATTTATATAATTTATAATACATAAAAGAAAAAACTGACTGACTTAAAATTTCATATAGAGGTCCCTTGCATAATGTGTGCGAACGCTAATATAGAGTTTTTTTTAAAAAAAATTCAACTCCTACGGGGTTAAAAAGCGGTGTTAAAGTTTCTATATAGTATTAACATACAGCCCAAACCGCTAGATTCAGAAACTTAAAATGTATTCCTCATATAATAACACAAAATACCAGGAAGGAATGCTTTTGAAAATTCAACCTTTAAGGGTTTAAACTGGATTAAAAATTTGTTAAAAAGCAGAATGTTTTGAGTAAATATACTTACTAATATTATAATGCATAAGTGTATTTGCTGGTTCTTTCACGTTGTATTGGAGTGGCCGATCAACGTATTTTTGGCATAGGGAAACTTGAAAAACCGAGGAGTGATACAGGCCACCAACTTTTTATACTGGACAAACATCAAATTTCTGTTGGAAACACTTGTATAAAGCGACTAAGCAAACATTAACATTTTACTACACTCCTAAAATTACTCAATTTTCTTGAATCCAACAATAAACTTACAGCACACGTTTTAAAAAAATCTCTAGTTTCATTAAAGTTTTTATCAGAAATCGAAACACATAAAAGATTTTAAATTGTTTTGAATGATTAAAGCTCGGAAAATTAATAATCAGTGTTTATATCAAATTCGTTTTTAAATGAATAACTAATTAAAAAAATAATAACTAAAATGCTAAAATAATTGTGTATTTATTATATGTGTTGAAACTGTGAATACAGGTTAAATGCTGAATGCATGATTTCGAAACAAAATGGAAAGTCGAGAAAAATACATTAAACAATTTTAATTCTAACGCAACTCTGTATAAATTCTTATTATCTAGAAATCGAGTAAGGAAACAAACGAAATTAATTTTTAAATACAGTTTATGTTCATTATTTATAGTCCATCAAATGAAAAATAATTGTATTCGTATTTATTTAGAATAGTAAAAAATACTAAAAAAAAGAAATCATAATGTATCATTATAATTACAGCTAAAATGTTTTAACAGACACATGCGATACCTATACGATCTTAATAAACTATAACTTTCAATATTTTTATATTTTAAATTTAATTCAACTGTCTTTTTCAAAAATAAATACAATATTCACATATATAGAACAGAATACCGATCGCTTATTCAGTCTCTCATATTGACTATCACGGAACCGTGATAATAGTTCAATCCAGAATAGTTGTTGTCGATAATATTTTCCTGAAAACCGAAAAAAATTATAGCCTATAGTAGAAAAGTCGACTAATTTAGAAGCGCGAAAAAAAAACACTATAGAGTGTTTGGTTTTTGATTTTTTTTTTTTTTTTTTACAAACACAAGAGAAAAAAGAAAGGAAAGATTGCCAAGTGCATTCGCATGTATCTCAAAAGTCTAGACTGTCGTTCATTCAAGACATCCGCAGTATCTTTCACCCCGTCCTCCACCGTGTCACCAGCTACCATAGTCTACGGCGTTATCTCATTACGTTATCCGGTGAAGATTTATCGTTTTAAGTTTAATTTTCGATTCAAAAGACCGTGCTCACCTAACCAATAAATTGTAAGGACACAGCCGTTTTGTACCAAAACTTGCATTCGACTTCGTCTGGCGCCCGTGCACTTGAATCTCAGGACAGTGATTTACGAACCGGCCTTCTTGAATTCAATTAAAAACCAACTATAAGGTGAATATACTAATTCTAAAGCATATCATGCCGTATAAAAATACAAAATACACCTTTCAAAAAAAAAAAAAAAACACGCGAATCAATATTCATTGCCTCGTGGACGTCATAACGCTTAAATTAATATTCCATAATTATTTAAATCAAGTACCTGCCAATGTGATCATAATCATTTGATCACAAGCACAACGAATCAATGTTTCGGGAATTTGAAAATGTGATACAGATTTGTTTATTTTGTTTTTTTAACATAATATACACATTATAATACAAAACAGACGGATTTATGGTCAAAACAACTTGATATAGTTGTTATAAAAACGATTGCGACGAAAAGCTTATTAGTATACTCGTATAATCGACGAGTGGAAAAATAGCGATAACGCACTTAAATAAACCAGAGTGACTATAACAATCAATGGCATGGTTATTATTATGGACGTATCATATGAAAGTATTGTGGACTCAGTGTCTACCACGCCACAGCAAATATAAAGCAGATTATAATAATATTGCCGTGAATAGATTTTTAATCATAACTTAGCGAACGAACTACGTTAGTAGGTACACGTATTCCATCGAATTTCAATCATGGTAATACATTTTTTTTTTTTTTTTTTTTTTGTTAAGATTCAATTATTACCTAATCAATAAAATATCATATTTTAGATTTTTAATATAATATAAAAAGAAAATATTATTTGTATAAACATTTTCCAAAACACTTTTACGATTAGTTTAAATGCTCCGATTTTTTCATATCATACCTTAAATAATGCAAGTTTAGTACTTCATTTGAAAAATGTTTCAAGATTAATAATAATTTATGTTTTTTTTTTTTATATATACTTTTTAATACTTTTCGAATTAGATAGACCTGCTGATACTTGCATTGAAATATTCATCGAAATATTTGGAAATTCATCTCCTAGATTCTTTATTTGTTGTTAGTATTTTAGCAACAAGGAAAAAACACTACTAATAATACTCAACTCAGAATCGATTTTTCATTTGCAATTAATTTAATTGAAGCATATAGTATATAAACTAAATTACCTTGTGCATTCTACCTTCCCAATTACCTACTTACAACAATGTTCTACCCATGAGTTTTATCAACTTGTTTAATAACATTTAACTCATTATGACGTTATAATAATAGTTAATAGATCAATAGTCTATACAAAAATCATTTATTTAATAAAACATACATACATTTTGTTTAATTAATTATTATTTCGCAACCAAATTATTTTATAGTTACAAAAACTCGATTAACGCTTTATTGTAAAGACAATTTAAGTGGATATGCGTCACTATTTTCTGACATATGTTTGTGCCTATTGTTTGAATAATTTAAAGGAAAAGAGCAAGGAATTCATTTATAAAGGAACACGCATACTTATTTCGACAAAAAAATAAATAAGTTAACCACTATAATATATTATTAAAGTAATTATAATATTTTATCATTGTCTAGTTTTATAAAATATATTATCTATATGCGTATTTCAAAAATGTTACATTTTATTATGCAATTACCTACATACATTTTTATACAACACAAATTCTAATTTTAAGTATTTTATTCAAAAAGTATAATCCGAATAACATTATAACAAACATGAGTTTTTCTTAAAAAAATGAATTTGAAAATTATGAAAATTATTTATTTATGAATTAAAATAATTTGAAACTTAGTTTGTTTTATATTAACTCAATTTTTTAAGGGTTGAATATGAGGTCAAGTACTGTACCTATACAAAGTTTTAGCTCATACGGTTCAGTAGTTTTGGCATGAAGTGGTAAAAAACATCCATACATTCATCCAAACAGACGTTTGCATTTATTATATTAATTGAATTGTATTGGTCAAATTGTTTTGACTAGTAGTTGCAAATATGCAAATTCAATAAATTCCAATAATGTTGAATAACAAAAAAATGATCAATTTTATAGTAATTAATAAATCATTACAGTTTATTAATAAACAATTATTTTTAATTGAGTTGAGAAAAACATCTTTTTACACGATTATTGCTATATAAATTATAATATAATATATTGTTTTTATTTTCCGAAATATTTGTTAAATTTTCACAGTTCTTTAGAGCACGGAGAATTGGAAAATATTTCGTTTAAAGTACCATCTGTGTTCAAGTACTCACTTATAAAGTTACTTCAGGGGAAACTTTTTGAGCATGTTTACCGTCCCAAAATAAGTGTAAACCGGTAAAAATAATAATAAAAACACACATTATTGTAAAATTAATAGCCTCCGTGCAAGAACGTGCAGTTCCACTTGAAATCTATGATAAAAAAAAAAAAAAATATGAAGACCATTTTAGTTTTAAAAACCAGACTAAAAAATACATGATAAACATTGTAGCGGGTCTACGCAATTACTTAGATTCTATATTTAAACACAAATCTTAACTAAAATGAAATTATCTTTTTAATATTTTTATTAGAATTAGATATTTTTTCTTTTAAGTCTCTATACAGTTGGTTATGTTCGTTGCAAACTAATTTATACTGGTGGTTGCAAACTAGGGATTTTTTTATACGTTTTTAACTGAATACTAGTATTCGAAGTGGCATGCTCAAAAGGGACTGGTGAGATGGAGGTTATATATTCATCATTGACTTCAAAACAATGACTTGATTTATTAAAATTATTAACATTATTTTGTTTACTATAGGTTCACTATCATCAAAAATTCTTCTGTATTCCACTAGAAATATTGGAAAATTTTAAAAACGAAATAAAATAACATATGAATTTCGTTTAATTTAAAAATATTTTTTCAAATATTTTTCTGTGATCAATTATAACGGATAATAGTATAATTATTTGATTTCATGTTATAGGATCAATAATCACTATTATATATACATATATATATATATACAATTTCCGGACGCGATTTTTTTATATTTCATATAGAAAACTCAAGATATTTTACATGACATTTTGTAACACGACATATTATGAAAATATTTGCATAGATGAAAAAATGTGACGTAAGGTTATAAACTACACTGCGTATAATTTAAAAGGATCGGACATGTAATATTACAATATTTTATATAAACGGAAAAAAAATCAATTTAACTGTAGATTTTTTCGTTTCATATTTTGTGTTTGCAGCGTAACATAATTAAATTGAACGCCAATGTAGGAGACACATAATTGCGGTGTCTTGTTATCTTTATAAAAATCGGCTATATAGAAATATCTATTCAGTAAACAATTATGATATTTAAAAACAAATTTCATACAATTTCAACTCTTAGAACCTAATGTAAACTTTCCGAAAAATGTCATAATATCGCAGATATGAAATATACGGTGATATACAATAAAGATATTCTAGAATTTTATAATCGGCTAATGCCATAATTTCTGTATAAGAAAAAAAACTGCTCGAATAAGAACAATATAATATCATATTTAAATAAATTCCATTCTACAATACTGAAAATGTTTATTTTTGGACAATATTTTTCGTTGAAAGGAATAGTGATCATTTTCATTATCGAATATAATAAAAATAAATGCATATCTATCATAACATTTATTAAAACCAAGTAATTGGATTAATTTATATTATATTTAAAAAAGTCAGATATGTGTCACAACATGGGTAGGCCATTATTGATGATAATATGATTTTAATATAAATAATATGATGAATTGACGTTAATATGATGCATTTTGAACTTGTAGGGTAGTTTGTAGATTCAGTTTGTATACCGAAAGCAAGGTATATTAATAAACTAATTTAAAAACTAAAATGAAATATTGATCAAAGCCAACAAATTTTAAAAATATAATTTTGTATTTCATATTTTAATTGTATTTAGAAACGTTTTGGTTTTGAATTAATAATTAAGAAATTATATAATTTCTTAATTTCTTAACTAAGTATAATATGTACTATAACTATAAAACAAATATTGAATCATTACAATATAAACATAATTCGAAGTGGAGTTCGGTAAACTGCTAAGGTTATAATATATGAGTTGTGCATTTTTCCATAGAAGCTATTATTGAATAATATACTGCTTGCAAAAAATTCTGGATCTTATAAGGTACAATATTACAATATTACAATATACAATTTGGATCATTTTTACTAATCTAAATAAAGAAAATTAAATATCTGAAAAAAGTCAATATTGTTCGTAGGTGTGCCACTGTTGAAGAAGCGAAATCAGAAGGGACGATACATAGAGTAATTTAATTTATATTTGTAGGCAACGATAATTTATTGCATGCTAACAGCAATACGATTCTGAACAAAATATTATCGTCATATTTTTTCCCTTGTTGTCAACATAACCCAGCAATAAACGAAAATAATAATACAAATTGCCAATGTTTTCTGTTTATTTAGAAAACTAGTTGTAACATTTGTAATGCACCAATTAGATCAAAAAGTTTACTAGAAACTCGCTTTAAAGTTTTCGACTGACGCAAGATTTCTGGTAAAAAAGTTTTGTTTACTCAGACAAAAAAAAAAAAAAAAAATTAAAAAAATATATCGTCGTAGAAGACCTATACGTTACACGCTTCGCTTAAAATCGAATACCGATAAGGTATGAAACTATAAATATTACAATATCATAAATAGAAATTTTTCAAAAATGTCTTTATATAGCTTGTTATATAATTATTATATCAAACTAATTATGGTAGGAAACAAGTTTGCATTGTATATATTTAATTATATTCGTTTTTGCGTTATTAAGTTGCACGAACATGAATCCATTTACCAACTTACAAACCGAAATAGTTGTATATAAGAAATATAAGTTTACGGTGGTGTGTTTATTTTTATCAGAAGTACATAATGCATAATAATAATAATAATATACAGTCAACAAGTTTAAAATTATATTATTTAGTGTTTTAGTTATATATTAAATAGGTGCTAAGTTTTAATTTAAATTAAACAAAATGTGTTTCATAATTAGGTATAGGTAGGTAACTAATATTTTACAATTAATTATAATATTATATAATACAAGTGCGCTTGTTATTTTAATATTCAATTAAGGTAATTGCGCAAGATGAACGATTTTTTTTAGATATTATTAAAAAACATGTCTATGAGAAAGAATAGTGGACAATTTGATGAAACCTTATCTTCATAATTTTCGTTTGAAAATTACTCTAAAAAAGAAAAAAAAATGAACATCAGAGCTCCTTCATTAGAGCTGCTGACTTGCCGTTATTAATATGTTATGTTGATTTTATATATAAAGATAAGGAATTAAGCAAAATTGTTTTATCAAAATACTCAAAGTAGTTCTCAAGATTTTCAACAGTTGGAGGGTTAATAAGAGTGTAAATAGCTAAAGAAACACCGTTCTCCCGCATAAACACGGTTAAGTTGATATTAAAATTCAGCTAAAATGTTATCACTTCAATCCATCTATAAACAATTTTTAATTGCCGAGCTTATACACTTAAGATCCAGAGGTAGTTGTTTTTAAATGTATTGGGAAAAATATAACAGACATAATAATACATCGCAATAGTTTCTATTTTCGGGAAAATTTGACAAAACTGTGTACCTATAGTTATTATTTTTCAATAGATTTATATATTGTTAGTATACTTACAACTCACAATATGATTTTATTTTAATACGCTCTTTTTCTATTTTATAAATTATGTTGAGAGTATTTTTTTACCAAGTTATTTATTGGTCCTAAAAAAAAGGGCTTTTTAGAATTTTTTTTTTTTTTTGGAGAATTTTGTTTATTGTAAATTGTATCCTTTAATTTTTTAGACTCTAAGTGTATCAAAGAATCATGATGCTCTCAGATTTACTTAAATTCATTTACTATTTTATCGAAAAAATTGTACCCACAGTAAAACTGTTTTGGTTTTCATCGTATCGTACGTACATTACCCTAAAAGACGCGTAATTTATGTCAGATGGTACTTGTCTTGAATTATTTTTCTAAATTCCTGACATTTTTTCTAAAAAAACAAATTGAACGGAAAAAAAATGAAAGAAATCATTTTATTCAATTATTTATAATCTTAAAATGATATCATAAACCATATATAATAAAACGTAAACACGACATAACCAATAGTATGAATTTTCGAAGTGAATGCATCATTAAAATTCCAATACTATATTTAATTTAACTTATACAACCATTTGATTAACGTTATTAAATATCATTCAATATAAGTTTAGAAATAAGTTGTTCGAATTTAGTTCAAGTACTATTATTACGGAAATAGAGATCTTATTATAGAATTGGTATCATGGTTTCGTTTTTATAAATCGTGTTAATTCGAATATCAAATTTGTGTACATTATTGTTTTTTTTTTTTTTTTTTTTTTATATATACTATCTTGAGTGATTCAATTATCCTTCGAAAGTGAAATGTGGGAGTTATATTCAGGGGCGGATCCAAGGGAAGGGGTGATAGGGGTGACCATCCTTCTCCATTCACTCGGCAATATACTCTTAGTTGCATTACACTCCTAGTGTGATTTATTAAACTTGTCATAAATGCGTGTCTTATATGCGTTTTCTAAATCGCCTTCTCCGTTATCTTGTCCTGGATTCGCTTATGGTTATATTATAGTCTTCAATGGGACAAACACAATCTTTATTCTTTTGTGGAAAGCGTATTCATGTTTATATTTTACAATGTTTCTCATCAGAATTATACATACATAAGTATCTATTTTATTTCTCGATGGTCTCCGATGGACGTATTATATTACTGCAATAGATTTTAGGTACCCTCCACCCAAACGATTGTAAATGAATGCAATAAACGAGACAGGTTGATTCATTGAGATTTTTGCAAAAGTGCGGATACATTCATATAGTCGACCCGTCGTCGACGGCGCAACGGCTTCCAGTAGTATAGAAAGTAAGGGGTTAATAACTGTAGTGCAAAAAACACTAGTGAGGTGGACGGGGCAAAAAAAAAAAGCGGACAAAACACAAAAAACTACCTTCCCGCCATTGCCACTACCTTCCCACATCCCGTCAACTTCGGGTTCTAAAAGTTCTTCATCAGAGTTTAACCGGGCTTAATGATAAATGTACCGGAAACTTGCTCAAAAAGCACCCGTAAAGTTTACCGTGGTAATTAAAATGAAACTGCCAACGAAAAAAAAAATATAAAATAAAAATAAAAATTAATACGTAGGTATATATAAAATTTCCAAATGGTCTAAACTATCGTAAATTTTACTTTTTCTTAAACAGAAAGAACAGCTGCAGATAAAGTATAACATTTAAAGGCGTTAAACGAAAAAGTTATAAAACGCGCACTGAGTTATTTTTATTTTTCACCCACCCAGAGGGAGATAGTATCTTTTTCGTAAATTTTTACGAAAAAAAAAACACCCTTACGAATCTATTGTTATGTGATGCATGCATAATTCTATACTCTACGATTTTATTATTATTGCTTTTATAATATTAATATAAATATATATATATATTTTTTTTTGAAAACGTTGATTATCGTTTAATAACTGAATTTGACGTATACAATTTCTATGATACCGGATAACTGTCGTTGAACGGTATTATAATCTCAATGCACTCCCATCATCGTATCGAGTAAAAAACCGACAACACGGATGAAACCGACAATTTATCGTTTATGCGTTTTTTGGCTAAATAATTAATATAGGTATAACGGTATTACGATCTATTTTCGTAGTGGCATTCGTACAATAGATATTAAAAAAAAAAAACATACTTTGCACGATAGGTGGGCCACTGTTGTTGGCCACGAGAAGTTGGGAAGGTAAAGGGAAAATTAAAAATATATATATCTGTATTCAAAGATTAATCGTTGCTAACGAAACAAAATTCTGAGCGGAATTCGATTATACATGTTTTGAAAAGTCGTAATATTTATAATTTGAAAATAATGCATTTCGTACATTTTCCCATTTCTCCCACGTTTTATCCCGGTTTTTCTTATTTATTATAAAACTCCTCAGGCAAAAAAAATAAACATCATTTAAAACCAACACATTCCTCTCTCAACACGTTCACAAGCAAAAATATGGTTGCCTTTCAATATTATTTTGTTGGTCATAAATATTAGCCTACACTGAAACCAACGATAAAAGTACCTACACCACCATGTATGCCAATCGTGTTGCACTACTCCTAATTCCTGCCCCTCTTGGACCACGGCTTACAATGTATCATGCATATATATATTTTTTATTTAATATCTATGATTTGAATATCGCATCGTAGTATATATACATTTTTTATGTGTATATATATATATATAAACTAATATGACGATTGTCATTATTGTAGGTTAGGTTAGATAATTGTGAAAATAATGTTGAATACTCTCACGGTGTAATAATCTCTCTAATACTAAACAAATAAATTGCATGTCTTTCTCAAGTAAGGACTTATTTAATAAATAAAAAAAAAAGTGCCTGCAATAGATACTATCACCAGAGAACTTACACGAAACGCAAACGAAACCATTTTCGTTACCTTTTAGTATCTTATGACAGGCATTATGTAAATCTGAAATAGAAATGTTACCAAAAGATGATTGAAACAATATAATAGGAACTTTACCAAAAAATAAAAAAGCTGACTTTTGTTCTTGTATACATATATTTTAAGAACTCCGAGCTTACTCCCTCACGATTCTAAAGTACACGTTCTATGAAATCATAACAAAAATTGTACCATTCTATAATAAAAAATGAAATTGAATGACGAAAACCTTAGGGTGGATCCAGAAATTCATACACATCTCAAATGAAGAAAAACGTGGGGATAGACACGATAATGTATAGAAGCTTGCTGAAGACAGCGAGAAATGGAGATTCAATAAAATTTTGTTAACCAACCTAAAAACGACTTAAAATAATAAGAATATTAGGTATAACATTCAAGTGGCTATTGCAATTGCATAGAAAGAAAATACATTTGGCAAGGATTTTTATCACTTATTAGCGTTAATTATATGTTACCGATAAAATCCTTGTCAGTAACGGCAATAACCCGCCTGCATAGCACAAAGTTGCCATCGATGTACACCTAGTTATTTTGCACCGTGCTAATCGTTATTCCCGATTTATTTACTAATTTGCATTTATATTTATAAATAGGTCGGTAATAAAATATTGAACAGGATAAAAAAAACTACACTTTATTGACCGAATTTACGCTGACTAATCGGTTTTTATTTATATTACCCATGTAGAATATGTAGTTTAAACCTGTACACCGAATCTCTGCGTGCGTTGCTATAAACGCGCCCGTTCGTTTCTGACGACGTAATAGATTTGCTTTATTCATTTGCTGATCGAACGGAGATTTCGCTTATCTCGTTCCATTTGCGTAGGCATAATCTTTACGGCATAGGTATATAGCATACGGAAGTAAATTAAATTTCGCAAACTCAATATATCTTGTAATAAAATATAATATCAATTATAATTTATTATAATACGTAATACCAGTATACATTCGCTAAATTCGATTTTAAATTTTCCAACGAGATTCATCAAATTTGTATAATTGAACTAAACTGAAAAAAAAACGTAGACAGACTTGGAAAAAAAATTATAATAACATTTTTTTTTATTATTATTATTGTAATTTATTTTTTAATGTTTGTAGAAACTTGATATTTTAATAGAAGACTTATTATATAACCTTTTTCTAGATGTGTTGAAATTTTAGAAACATTTGAGCCATTTTTGAGTTATTTATAAACATTTTAATTTTGTGAGAATGCGTAATTTTGTGTACACGAAGGATAAAATGATTAGACTAAACAGGAATGCTTGAAAATTTAGCAAGTACTTTATTATAAGTAGAACTTAGTAGTCGAAAAAATTTGAGTATTAAATCAGCTTTTTTTCTGTCTTATCATAGAAAACTTTCTACGACATTTTTCGGTTGGAAATATTGATCTAAACCGATTTACTTTAATTAAATATGTTTAACTCCGTAGAAATTCTCAATAAAACTTCATTATTATATTTCGTTATTTTCATAAATTATTTAAACAGGGTGTTTATAATAATACTACCTAAAATCAAATCTATACAGCAGTAACCGACCCATATATATCAGTTATTTTCTAATACCCTTTTAATTGGTGTGTTTTAAAAGACCGTGTCTACACATCATTTTCGTTTTGGGAAAACTTCTACAGTAAAGTTATTGTCGTCCTATATATCATTGTTATTATTATCGTACGTCACATAATATAATAAATTACATTTTAAACAATTCCTTCATACAGAAATCATATGCATTACTACTAAAATGTTCAAAGGGTTTACGACGACGTTTATAATTGCTTTGTATTTGATGTGATGACACGTATTTCCCGTTTGTTTGCAAGTACAGAAAAAATTTTAAAAAAAAATACTCGAAAATGTCAAAACCGTGTATACAAAGCTTATAACTCGGCAGAATATTCAGAAAATGTATCCACGTCTAGAGAAGGCCGATATAAGAATTCTGTCAAAATGTCAAGTTTCTACAATTATTTAAAAACCGAATTTTTACGTTTTCCTAACACGTTTTTTTCTCAATTTTTATGAAAAGTGCTAAGAAAATCAAAAATATGATCTTTTAATAAACCAACAATATCCTATAAAAAAAACTATCCGGTTATTTTTCGATTAGAACAAGATTTATAGTAGAAAACTAGTTAACGGACAAAAACAAATACTGTCTTATTTTACTGTAGTCTAAAAAGGTATTTTAGACTTGTAAAATCAACATTTAACCAAATTACTTCAGCTTATTTTATGTTATTTCAAATTATCTGTAATGACTATGTAGTATAATTTTAAAATATTGAAGTCAAGCTGTCCTACTGCATAGTGTTACGAATATATGTGTACCAGGTACCTACTTAAATTATTATATTTGTGATTAAATTAAAGGATTTTCACTAATTGACTGTTTCAAATTCGTACAGGAGGAATACTTCCAAAATGTACTTTCATTTATTATCGATCCGGGATTTAAATCGTCGGGTATTTCTTTTACCAAACATTTATAAAAATTCCACTTTCTTAAACTCGTTACCGATAAATTAGGCGGGCCATTTTAAAACGTAGATTTGTTGTAACTCTCCTTCTCCGTTTTTCGCCACTTAATACTACGGTTTTATTTTATTATCATTTTTTTTTTCACAGTAAATTTATAGCCCGTTCGTATATAATAGGCGAGTATCTTAATTCAACACGGTGAAAATTTATTTGTGTGTACTTATATTATATAAATATACTACAACGGGGGAGTAATTCGAAAATGTATATCGGAAATATCCAAACGGCGATAGCTGCTTCTGTTGTAGCAGTATAGGTATTGAATTATATCGGGCCATTAAAGACGAGTGAATGGCCAAAAAATATAAATTACCATCGGGCGTATAGAATTGGCTATAAAAACATTATTGGAAGGGTGTTTTTTTTCCTCTGTCTGAAATAATTACATAAAAAAATGAGTAAGAGAAATATAATAAGAACATCATATATAAATATAATGTTGGGAACAAATGAACGTTTTTATTGGATAACATTTTGCATTAAATGACTAATGCTTACAACATTATATTATTATTATATATGTACAGGCTCGCGCTCAAGACTTGGTTGATATTTTAAGACGATTTTATTATATAAAACGAGTATTATATATAATTTACTTTTATCCTCTTTTGTTCTTCTTATATATACATATGTATACATAGCGAAAATGTAATAGTTAAGTCCGTTTTCAGAGTAGATGTACTGCGGCAAGTTCGGTAAAAGCGCTGTTGTAGTCGTCGGGGAAAAAAAATTAACCTTCTATTGTTTAATCAAAAAACATTTTTCATTAAATGTGGGTAGGTAGACATGTAGGTATATAAAAAAACGTTTTTGAATTTATATTTATGGATCGCATTTAAGGTAAACGGCCTTCTTTGTAAACTTTTTATTCAATTTTGAACAATACGTTATTTTCCTTCGCAATATCCGCAATATTGCCCTATATAGAAGATAATTTAATTTTTCTTCGATTGAAATAAAATACAGTTTTCTCATTTACCGAGAATCTTATATTAATTTTAAACACTCATTAAATCATCACAGTTTACCCGTAGTATGCTATATTCATTAAAATATTCCCGTTTAAATGCGATTTATAGGTTATCTAATAGTAATATTTTTATGTCTAAATAATTTTAGTTTGACTGTCATTTTAATATTCTATATCAAAACTACATTCACTATAATGTTAATGTAACATTAATTTAACCGTTACATATTTCCAACGAATAACGATTAAGTTTAGATTATATGACGCGTGATTATTGAAAACCTACTCTAATAATGTATTAATAATAATTTTTTTTTTTAGATTCCGAGCGTAGCGAAGGAGCTATTGGTTTTACAATGCTCTTTTTTTTCTAGCCTGTGAACACGCTTTTTCTTAGTAAACGTGCTCTGATGTATAAGTGTAATATCTTTTCTAAAAGTCCATTTTATCTACTTGGCAAATACGTAGGTAATTTTTTGATTTTCGAAACGGTATTTCAAATAAAAACGATTCACCGGGATTTTTTCACGATTTCATTATTCTAAATTAGTACCTATCACGTTTCCTAGCACAAATATGGCTCCAATTAAAAAACGAAAAGACACCATACTTTTGTTGAATTTCTTTTTAATAAACGTTTTGAAATCAATTTAAACGAAAATCGCAAAAAAAATTACGGCACTTCAAATTATGTACTACCGAACTGCGCTAGGAATCGCCGTTCATCAGCAATGGTTTATCATTCCCTACAAATATAAATAAAATAACCTATATATCCTACCTTCCCAACATCTCTATTACAACGGTGGCTGCACCCGTCCTCAGTATCAGCTCTTTCACTTTTAAGTTTAAAAAAATTAAAATATGCTATAGATCATTAAAACATTTAACATCAAAAAACTTATTCCAAATCCAACCGTCTGGACATCATGCTATTAATGTTTGATTATTAAACTCGAAAATCGAATTAAGTTTACCATTTCAAAATAGAAAGTTGATACGGTGTTAGTATAAATGAGCAAAGGCGAGAAGTATAATATTATTGTTATTAAATTGAAAAAAAAGCATAATAAAAATATGGACATTATTGTGTATTGCGTACACTCGTTTCGCTTCAATCGCTTCGTGGTAGGATAATGATGTGCTTTTTTTCCCCGCATTGAATTTAAGGTCCTACCATTCCTATTATTTTTGTTTGTATTGTAATATTTTCAGTACGTTTTTACCGCACAAATAATGTTAAAAAAATAAAATAAAACATTGTTGTATAATATTGTGGAGTATCATGTATGAATTCCTTCAACGAACTTTACTGTTTAAAAAAAAAATAAAATGCATTATTTAATAAATTTAAATCGAATTAGAGAAATACATTTTTGTTTAAAAAAAATACCACTGTTGTAGTTGAGAAGTTGGAGACGTACGGTATGATATACTATCCTTAATTATGTAGTTATTTAATTTATATCTGAAAATAATAATAAATAATAGCTAACGAATAACCTACTAAATACAAATTTAAAAACCTCGAAAACAACGAATGTCCAAAAAGTAGAAAAAACGAAATGGTCAAATAATTTGAACGCTTAAGCCGTAAATTTGTCTATTTTTATTTTTATTTTTTTTTTTTACCAAATTATTATGAAAATTGATAGAAAATAAAAAATCATATCTCAATGCAATGCATTAACGAATACAACAAAAATGTCTCTTATCATTTGTTTTGATTAGAGCAAGATTTTCGATAGAAAAGTTACTCACAACCACAAAAAATACACATAGTAAAACAAATATATTTCTCGGTTTTCTTATAGTTTAAAAACTAGTTCAGCACAATTTAAATTTCGGAAAAAATTGTCATAATGAATAGACAAAATGTATAGACAGTGATCGATACATCACAAAAATTTTGAATATAATAAGTTAATTTGTATAAGCGTATGTATACAATACAATAATAGTATTATTATATGTTTATTATTTAATTTTTACTAAAATGTTTTTATCTCGGAAAATTATTTTTCAGGTAGTAAAATAATGTGCCAATTTTTATAAGTTATAACATGTCTGGACCTTAATATAGGTTATATTTCAGATCTGAAACTTTGTTCGATATTTTTTTTATCTACAACCAAGCAACCATGTATCGAATTTTTTTTTTTTTTTTAATTATTATTTCTGGATTACTTAACCTTCAAAGAGCACAAGAGAAAAACTTTTCTAATATAATTGTCTAATCTTACCAGTAAACTGAACACCCATCAAAATCGCGGTATTTGTTTTCTTTCGGTATAATAAACAATGGATTGCATTATATCTTATATACATTCCTGCATCCTACCTTCAACACGCTAATTATTTGTATCTATACATTTAACAAGATATTATAAAGCTGTATAATGATTTTTTGTATACATGTCTGGACAATTGTTTAACACTTGTATACCTACCAAACTTAACGAGTTATTTTAATTACTAGACCCAATATATAAATAACATTACAAAATATTATTTTAAAATTAAATTTCTGAAGTATACAATATTTAATTACCTATAGGAAAATATCAAATGACGTTTTGATTATAGTAATAATAATAGTCACAAGCATTTCTAAGGTAGCAATTTTATATTCAGTATGTATGATCAAGTTCATCTGTTCAGTTTACATGACTGCATACATATTATATTCACCGTTAACAATCGGAAATTTAATGTTGTATGCAATTTTATAAACAATACACTCGGAGAATTCAGCAGTAGATGTTAAACACTATGCAATATAATAGCTCTATATATTCAAAATACGTGCACATTTTCCATAAATTATTTAAAACTGACCCAATTTCCCGACTTAAATATTCACCAAACAAAAAAAGTTAAAACAATAAACTTTATAGATAAATTTGTCAGATTGTATTTGATGGGTAGCACATAAATCTCTCTCTATATATATATAAGTATACACAACATAACCTAACCAAACCTAACCTAACTTATATATTATGTACATATCATTATTATATAGGGATAATTATAAATAATATTTATTGTATTGATTATTCTTCTACGTTTTGTGTGTGCTTATTGGAAATGATCCATAATTATCCGCGTCTCGAAGGACCGCTGTGGCCTTGGTATGTAATGTAGGATGGGTGGAGTAATCCCAGTTGTTTACCTCCCGGCGTTTTATGTATTGTACCCTCAGGATGTAGAGTGTCGTAAATATTGCAGAAATTTTTGAAAATAATACCGTAGAAAATAATATCTTGTGTGCGAATGAGTTCGAAACCAATGTTTATGTTGTAAAATGTGATTGCAATAAACGTATATTTTTTTTTTTTTTGCCGCGCCAAAATTCACAAAATCCGTGTAGGTAACATTAGTTTTATTACTATAAATAGTAACTTCGTTGTACACATATTATTATCCAATATCATTGTCCAGGGCTGTCAGTTTTTCTAATATAATATATGTTCAATTACGACTGTGACGCCTTGAAAGCTACACAGAGCTCTGTGTTCATATTATATATGTATATATGTTACAGGTTATAGTTTATTTGGATACCGTCTGTGTTTGATTTACACTTATCGAAATCTTACAATAAATCAAACCATTTGCACCAACACAATAAGTTGGTATTTATTTTTGAAAACGTTTTTATATACGAATATGAGTAATCGATAATCCTTTAGTATATTTGTATCTGTATATAAATAGTTTAGTATTATAGTCAAAAGTTTTATGATTTAAATCAGGTTAGTGGAAAGTAAAACATTGTTTTGTATATTCACCATTATTACCACTACCACCTTTATTATGAACAAATCAGCAACCGTTTGCTGCAAACGTTCTATGGTTCTATATTGCAGTCATATTCGTACACTTCCATTTACCCAAAACCCACCAATCCAAATTTGTTCGAGAAACAGACCTCATAAAATAGTCTCCAACACGTCATGTCACATAGCTGCTATTTTAAAACTTAAATACGCCCAACATAAATTATTTCAGAGAAGAATAATTTACACTGCTAGTTTAATGGTCCAACAAAATATGTGAATGCCACGTATTAGATCATTTTGAGTTCGTTAGTAAAATATTATTATTTGTCATTCGGTCGAACCGTATAGCCAGTAACGAGTATAAGATAAGGCCGAGAAAGAGAAATAATAAATATCTCATGTAAAATCAAAAAGCTCAGCTGAATCCCTCGTGTAGTGATCGCGCGTATCCCCTCGTGAACCAATTTTGGCCAATATCCAGAAATCCCATATCGAACAGTTACCCTTGTTAGGCTTAACGTAGTAAACCACTTTCAGAACACAAAACAATCAATAAATCGTATTTGTAACGCGATATATATTTTTATTTAAATTACATATACCGGAAAATATAGAACGGTACACGAAATGATGCGTGTTGGTTGCCTATATATCTACGTGTGTAAATATTTGAATGCAAACACGTAGTCGCTCGCATAAAAGGACATTAATATAACGTTATATTACTTTGTGTGTGTGTGTGTGTGTGTGTATATACATACCAAAGTAAATTATTATTATTATTTTATTTTTACTTTTATTTTTTATTAATAAAACGAATATATTATGATGAGGGCAGTTTTCACGAGCGCTTAGTATAGGTAATTCTCCGTGAAAATGATATTCAAGCAGCATTATTCAAAGCACCTATATATTATATACCTACCGACTGGTTTTGTACCTACTAATTTATTGAAAATCTAAAATCATACGGGCGCGATATTAATATTAATTAAAAGTCGAGTCTGATGTTTTCGCGTGCATTAAAGCCCTTCGGTTCATGGGAATATTCCCCTCAAACACAATAACCATATCATGACGGCTAAAACGAAGGCAAATATAAACGCGTTGGTATGAGTAATAAAACATTGTAAAAAAAAAAAATTATATACCGCCACCGATATTCAAACTGTCTTTTGTAGCTACCTGTACTATACGGTAGCACAAAATATAATATTACACAATGATTAAATTTTAAACCTAAATAAAATTTTTTTTTTTTAATTAAACATTTGCAAATTCTATTATATCATATAATGTCACTGTATACACATAACTAAAACTTCAATTGCAGTAGTGGCATTTTGAAAGGAGAAGGAGGAGAGAATGTGGTTGCAATTACACTCGCGTGAATTTCTCTGACAGATAACAAACATAATATGTAAATAAATAAACTAGATTAATAGTACATATAAAATAAATAATTATACATTATTATTTTAAAGTTAAATATAAAATAAATACTCGTTATATAACTGTAAAACTAATGAGTTACTAGCAAAATAATCTAACCTACAATTTATTATCATAAATTATTACAATTTGATGATTATCACCATAGAAGAAATTATGTGATTGTTTTGGTCAGTGATACCTCAGTTCGCCCGGTGTGTTAAGATTTTCAAATTCATAATTTTCTACTTTAAAAAGTAAAAATCATACTAAAAATGTAAAAATATCGCCAAACAAGAAAAAAAAATGTTATATTTTAAGGGGGTGTACGGAGCAAATATGATCGTGTGATAATTTTAGCACACCCGTGAGATTCTACCAAGTGTCGCTTATGTAACAAGGAGTATTTAGATTATAGCTATTTATGATAGTACTACAACAAAAGATAAAAAATAACTATAGATAAAATTTAGTATAAAATATTCAACGTAAAAATAATAATAATAAAATTACCTCTCCTTATAATCATATGCTAAATTATTTGTTTCTGTTAATATAATTGTGTACACGCAATTCTAAATTTGAATATAATGACTGTTATGAGTGTAATGACTGGTACTTTCAACTGCACCAAACCTATAATTTCGCAAGTTTTTATTTGGTACCTATACCTATAACTACCTACCTACCTACCTACATATTATTATGTTATCTAGAGTTTATTATTCATACAAATTTTGAATTTTTCGTTAAAATATACACCCCGTTATTACGCGTAATAATATGTAGGTGCCTGATAAAAAAGTTCATTGATTGCTAAAATGGATTGCATAAATCAGTTTTTCGGTGTTGAAAATATTAATGACTTCAAAATATGTATGCATACAATTATTAAAACTAGTTAGTGTAACTGTATCAATTCAATATCAACAACTCGATTTTAATGAACAGTGTGAAATGGAAAACATATGGTTTTGTTTCTGAATTGATATTCCATATTGAATTTCCAACGTTTTAGTTTTAGACTTTAGTAATTATTACAAAAAAGAAAAACTTGAAAATATAAAATAGAGCAAAATTAAGTGCATTTTTCAGATCTTCATAAGATACTTAATGTTTCAAAAATGATTTAACAAACATACAATTATTTTTAGCAAACATGGTATTCTACTGGTGTCAAAAACTATATACATTTATTCATTAATATTGTTATTCTATTTAATATTTTAAAACAAAATATTTTAACAAAAGGTGTCATCACACGTTTGTTTGGACATTATTTAATTAGCTACTATGTAATTAAGTATAGGTATCTATAATATTGACATTTTTAGTCAATTGAATAATAATAATTGGCATTTTGATCAAAAAACATATATTAATTTAATTATTGGGCAAAATGATCATTTTGATGCATAATTGCTTATGTTAATTCTTAACAGCAGACCACCAGCTAAATTTATGTGTGCTTACTATTATGTTTGAAATCAAAAGAAAAATGACTAGAAAAAAAAAAAAAAATACAAATAAATACTTTGCACAATAAGTGGACCACTGTTGTAGGTGAGAAGTTGGGAAGGTAGGATAAAAAGGAGAATTTAATTAATATCTGTACGCAACGATAAACCATTACTAACGAAAATCGATTCGGATTGAAATTTATTTCATACATGTATGTAAATTTTCCGGTTTTTCCTACATTTTTTTCCAATTATTTAAAAACTGTTTGAAAAATCAAATAATAACCAGCTTAAAGTACTACCCAGGCAAAATTTCCTTTTAAACACGATACTAAACTTGACAATCGGAGTAAGATTTCTGATAGAAAAGTCGTTCCCAGTTAAAAAAAAAATGTGTACATTTTATAGCATTTCTATTTGGTTGAACACTTTTATCTACTTTAAGTCTTACAAAAACTTTAAAAAAAACTCCAAAATACCACCATTGGTCGTGGTAAATACAAAAAAAATATAGGTATAAACTATTCAACATTGAAATATTATGGATATTTGTATTATGTCAAGTTCGATTTATGTTGGCTTTTTATTTGTATCTACAATTTTATTCTAATCTAGACCAGATGGAACATTGCACACTCGAAATTCAAAACAAGAGGAATGCTACTGTCTATTTTTTATCTCGAAAGTCAACTCGTAATGAGTGGCCGACTCTCAGATTTTGGTATTTTTGGAACGAAAATTGAACTTTTTTGGTTGATTTATGGGTTATTTAGCCATTGGCGATACGCATAAAAAAAAGAAGCAAATACAGCTTTATACAAATTTGACGTTTAACTGATTTAAGCTAACATTAATTTAAAAAGTCGTGTGTAGTAAATTGATTTTATTTTATGTATTTATTAATTTAAACATATTATGTTTAAATAAAAATTCAATTATAAGAGAAAAGGTGAGTGAAAATTTTTTTTTTTGTTTTACACTATTGATTTGTATAAGGTATTTTTTAGGCCTTCCAGGATATTTTGCTTTGGACCCGGCAACCTGTCGTTATCAATGATCTTATACATTCCGGACAAAAGCCGTTCTCCGGCAATATTGATATTAACAAATTTTTATTCCGACCATCAGAATAAAATCTAGATACCTATACATATTTTATCGGTAAGACAAAAATATATTTACATGTTTAATATTTGTTATATTATAGCATTTAAATGTTAACTAATGTTGAGTATGACGAGTAGACGATATTGCATAGCCTTATGGAATGGCCGATGGACACACAGTAATTTTACATCACTATGTAAGACACATATTTTAGTGTATAATATAGGAAGATATAGGATATAAGAATTAGTAGCCATGTACCAATAGGATTAAATATTTTATCCGCCGTGATGAAATATTCTGCAAGAATGACATAAAAGCCGTTCTTTATCATTGCTAGACATTTTAAAACTTATGGCACTTTTTTTTTTAATATTACTTTTAAACTATATTATATTTTTTTAATAACCTAAACGGCCATTAAGGAATGCATTAAAAATATTCATTGCTCGTTAGGTCTTATTTAAATAGTTACTTTTATAACTGCTGGATTTATACCTAACTATAATTAATTTACTATTGTTTGTGTTTAAATTTAATTACACTCATTTATAAAATAATTTTTGAACGAAAGCATCTCTGGAAATAATTTCAGTTTTTACAAAAAAAAAAAAGGCTTATATTTTTATACATTATTACATTCTTGTAATTTGTATAATATATACATATCGTAATTTAATTAAAATATGACAGCTTAACTATTATGCATGTTTTATAGTATATTTTAAAATATTTGAATAAAGTATAAGAAAAACAGTTCATTTTCAAAAAATTCCACATATTCTTCACGCCATGGTTGATTCTATCCAGACTTGTATGCAAGTTATAAAACTGTGTAGACACATTATTGTAATAATGTACAATATTTAAGTTTATAATGATAGGTATACAAATAATACGTAATATGCATTTTATTATTGAAGAAATCTAGTTTTAATAATGAAAATAATATCAAACATAGGTAAATAGGTACTAATAATACTCACGTCTGTTGCTCGGAATGAAACTGGGTATGCTGTAGTGAATATTATTACTAAACTATAATATTATAACACTCTAGATGTCCCGCCCGTAATTGACTAGGCCACTGGTTTTTTGTTAGATTCAATTTTTTAATATACAAATTAGTAATATTTAGCTGTAATACCCATGCCTAATGGTAGGCGACTTTGCCCATGTGTAATTTACACATCTTTACAATTTAGTTTGTGTGTATGAACTCCTATTTTAGTCCCAATTAGCCCTTACCGGGAACCTTTCATCGTGAAGCTTTCTTCCAGGAACCAACTGTTTGAGTTCAATTAATAGGTATCTGAAGCTTCTCGTTGATCTTTCCGAAGATATCCGATTTTGGTTAGGAAGCATTCTGAACTTATTGGGGGACATCCTAGTTTAATCCTCAAATAAAAGCATATTAACGATCTTTCTCTCTCCTTTTAATTGCCACTGTAATATTTTGTTTTCTAAAATTGTCAGTTGTGTACTCGTGCGATTCTTAATTTATCATAACAATATATATATATAGACTTAAACTTGACGACCCGATTAACTTTGACATTCATTTTTCACCTTCAAGGGCTGTTTTAGGTTTTTTGTAGGGAGATTAGGGGGTTGAATAAGAATGAAGGTTTGTATTTATTTTTTAGCTCTATTCTATGGTGTAAAAATTATCACTTCAAGCTAAAACTCTTTAAAGTTTATATTAAAAAAAAATATATATATGTAGGTATAGCTTTTCATCGTACAATATAGGCCTCTGAATATAGAATTTTCAAAAATCCTTTTACACGGTTCTACTAGTTTCTAACCGAAATGCTAACTACAGATTTGACTTTAGAAAATGGCGGATTTTTATACAGAATAATATTGTTTGCACAATCGATTGTTAAAATTTCAAATTTGTATACATTATAACCAAGGTTCTACGTATGTTAACGTGTATTAATCAGTTAGAACAAAACGCCTTAAATATATATTTATATAGTAATTAATATAACTTATGGTATTTATTATCATAAAAAATATTAATTTTTCTAGAATTTATATTTTTGAACATTTAAGAAATAGGTAAATCTACAATTTTACATTACTTTTATCATCCTAAATTTAAAGAGCTAAATCACAACCTATTTTTTATTTAAAAATGACAACTATTACTAACGATTTCATGAATAGATTAAATTTTAGTTTAAATACATTTTGGTGTTGACATTTTTAATTTCCATTAACCCGTTGACGAGATATTCGACTTTTGGTAAGTTTTGGTAAGGAGACAGTAGTTGAGCATTATTTGTATGATGCACGTAGTTCAGCAATTTCCTATTATAATAATATAAAAATGAAGAAACGAGAATATTAATTTATATTAATTTATTATTTATTATTTATTATTTATTAATTTATTAATTTATTTACGGCCATATTAATTTATTCTCACGCTTCTCTTTTTTATTTAAAATAATTAAGATATAATTGGAAAAAGAATATCAATTTGGAAAGTCGCTTATCTTTAGATTTTCCGGTAGGATAGGTACATCGGAATATGGTTTACATCCGGAACAAAACATTTACTTTTATAAAGTGAACTTCAGAATTAATATATATTGTTTTCACAAGTATAACAGTGCCTGATTACTAAATTACGATGCATATATATATTGCACGGACGAAAAAATATTAGTAATTGTTCTATGATTGACGATAGTATAGGTATACGCTTCCTCAGGATGTTTCTCATTCTCTGAAAGATAATTTTAAGGAAAATTAAAAACCAAACATCCGTGTATTATAATAATTAAAGACCAATTGAAATTTTAATAATCAAATTAACCATAAAAAAAAAATAGTTATTGAAATTTATTAATAATAAAGTACCTACATAGAGAAGTTTAAGTTCATACCCATAAAAATATCGTCAACCTACAATGAATCATTTAAAAGAGAAAGCTTTATAGACTGACCATACTAAATATAACAAGCTATATCCGATAATTTATATGCGATATATGCTATATACGATAACTATCCCATGACATATTATAATATAATAGTGTCGGAGGCAAACGTCAATATTTACTATAAAAATAAGACAATTCACACCCAACGAGATGGAGGGGGTCGGGGTTAAATCACGCCGGGCTGGAATTTCGATGGAAGTCCAGGGCCCCATTAACATCCCGTAAAACACTAGTGCAAGATAATTGTATTATTTGAATTTTTAAAAATACTGCAGCCTGTTATCTTAGTATTTTACATCGCGTACATAGTATGCTTGGTGTTTTAAATAAATAATAATATAAAGTAGGTACCGATGTACTATATTTATAACACTTGGGTCAATGTTTGTTGCACGTAGGTAATGATTTCGAAATAATTTCAAGAATTGTCTTTACGTCGTAGGTCGAGTAGATAAGATAACAAACGTCGGAGGGCAGTGCTGTAAATTTAATAAATTTTATATTTTATTTGTTTCTTATTTTGTCGTGACTCGTAGATAAATAAAAGTATGATTTTAAGTAATGTTATGTTTTAATTTTTAATTGGAAATATCAAAAATGTATGTAAAATATGGATACAAAGTTGGGCGTGAATGTTACTACCCCTGGGTCTCTATATAATTTTCTCTCCTTGGCCCTGCGAGTATTATTATAACAAATAAGGTAAGCTTAAAGTAAAAAAAATATTTTAAAATATTGTTCACAACAAAAATAGAATATAAAATATTTTTAATTTAAACTATTTAATTTAATTTAATTTTTTAAGAATTTAATTTTAAATTCAGATCGAAGGAATTATGGCTTTACTATTTTTTTTTTTGTTTTTTTGTAAACAACTTTTCAACCAGAAATCATGTCCCAAATAAAAACGTCATAATTACATAAATTGTTTATTATTATTTACGTGGTTTTTGTTATAAATAGGGAAAATTGGCAATTTTATACATCATTTTCGTTGATTTTTCGATTATCTCAGCTACAAGAAAAAAAAAAGATTAATAATACTCTGCTTAGAATCGTTTTTCATTAGTAATGGTTAATCATTGCGTACAGATATAAATTAAATTACTTTATTTATTCAATTTTTCAACTTCCCTCCTAAAACAATGACACACTTATCTATATTACAGCAATTTCTTTACTAGATTAGTAATTGTATATTCATACGACTAGACTGAAGTCCGATGTTATAGAATATTTCAATTTTTTTATTATTATTATTAACTTCATACTTATAGATTTATTCCAAAATTACTGTAATATATTCTACACCAAATATAAAAACTAAAATGGGTATACGTGTAAATCAATAATATTATTACTATCGGATATTTTATACCAAGTATATTGAATATTTATTTATTTTTCGTTTTTTAACTTGTAACAAAAGCCAATGTGAATTAATAAAAGCACATCTCCATAACACATTCTGGGGCGAAAAGTTTCTGTTCGAGCTGATGCCGGCGCTGCCACCGTAATAACCACACAGAACCATGACAAAGAGTCGCTAACGTGGGAGGAGAAGGTTAAGGATATCCGGTTTTCAAACTGAAACAACAACTCATTGTTTTAATACTACAAAGCATTTTCACTTATACCTTTGGGGTACACCTTATGCCTTGTAAATTTACATCGGAGGCGAAAGTTATATTATAATGGTGTGTTTTTATACATCGTCGTAATATTATATCAGGGAAATAAAATCATTCCAAAAACCATTGATATATAATAAAGTATCGTATAAATCATGATTTCTGATAATTTCATTAAAAAAAAAAATTAAAATAGTAAATAAATATTTATTCTGTAAGAATTTATATTTTTCATTTTTATAATTGGGTGTACATTTGTTTAAACATTTGACAGATAGAAAGTTAATTTTTGATAACTTTAAACTTAACTTACTTATCTCTTATTGTAAAAAATTTAACTTAACTTAGGTATTTTTGTGTTTATCAGTGTTTTTTTATTTATTTTTGACGAAAATTGCACATTTCTACTTATATATCATTATTACATAACAAGAAGGCCATTCGACTTATACAGGGAATAGGATACCTACGCCCACATGTTTTTTTTATTATAGTAAATCTATAAATGTGTGAATAATTAGAGCACAAAATATATTTATAAATAAATTACTAAAAGATAATTAAAAAAAAAAATAACTTTTAATTTAACTTAGATACTTTCATTTGCACATATTTCAAAACTAACTTTGGCTTAGCTTGGTTAATTATTTTTATGATAACTTAAACCAATTGATCACAGTTGATTATGATATTCAGCTTTAGGTAAAGGTACTTATGTACTTTTTTTTGAAACGTAGAATTTTCTGCACGATATTATCGATTCCAAAAAATACATTACAGATCTATTCCTATGCAGTGTCAGTTCCTACAGAAATATAAAATAAATATAAGCTTCTTCAGTTATCTGCAAAACTCCAATGACCCGTCCGAATCGCAATACACAGGTCATCTAATGGATTCACTACAATTATAAAGTAGTTTGATCTTTCGTCCAACTATAAAAAGTGGGTATATCTACATGGTATAAAAATTAAAAATAAATCAAAGAAAATCCGTCCTCGCCACTTTTGAACGTTCCTTTTTCCTTGCCCACTGCATTTTCTTAGTGTTAAAATATATTAATGACGATCACCTAATTGGGCAGGTTGAACTTCCTATTATAAACAATGAATAATGTATATGAACTCACTTTTAAAACTAATTTAGACATATTCTAATGTGTATTATGCAGTTTAACTTTGGATATTGAATCACCGCGACGGTTTCAATACCGACATCAGTTATATTTTATCAAAAAAAAAAAAAAATAATAAATAAATAAACGGGTTTGATCGATTTATATCATACAAATTATTAAAAATTCGGGTATGACTATTTTTCAGCACTTTTATTAATAATGATAAATATGAATCGTAGATATACCAATAAGGAATTCCAATAGGTTTTAATATTATTATGTTCAAATTATTAGACATTTAAGGCTTTTTTTTTTAAGTTTACGAACTTAAAAAAAACATTTCATGAATACTCGACATTATAATAATTTATGAGATTTTTAATGCACAGAGCTTAGTAGATATATAATTAAATCATTTTTTAATGATCCGTGTATATTTCTTTATAACTTTCACTTTTTATTATTATTTACATTTATTATTTTATCGTGATATTATTTGCCGTTTAAGTTAACATTTGGTTATATATATATATTTATTTATTTTTATCTACGTAAACTTGATTTAATAATATGTTTTAATTTTAGTTCAAAAAAAAACCAAGGTCAAGGAATTTTAATGTAGATTATTTTTTTTTCAGGGGGGGGAATTAAGGGTGCCAGGAATGCTAGGACTACATTTCCCGAGTACATAACCTGATTCATATAGTTACACATAGTGTACACTATTATACTCCAAACTTGAAACTTTTGTTTTGAGTTTACAGATTTTCTTTCAATTTTTCGTTAATTTATAAGTTTTTTAAGGGTATTACTTAATTAAAATCGATTTTTAGCTATTTTATAGAGTATTGTTTGATTGTTTTAATCCGGACTTAACTAATAATATTTGAATTATTAAGGTATTATAATATTATACAGAAACAGGATTATTTCATAATCTTACTAAAATGAATACCTAAAATATAATTTATTTTTGATTGTAATTGTACCTACAATAATAAAGAATTAAATTTACGAAAAAACAAGGAAAAATGCATTCAAAATATTAAAACCACAATGTGTATATACAATAATATCCGGGTACATTTGATATTGTCGTAAAGTTTTGTTACATTACAGTTTGTTAGTTAATACTAATACGTAATTATAAAGAGCAACTATGGGTAATAACAGTAAAAGTTCGGCATTCTCGTTATCACACAATTATAAACGTAAATAATAATTTTAGCACAATTAGCGAAAATGTAAATTCAATAATGGTCGAGTCTTTTAGCGAAATAAATTATGAAACTAATGGGCATTTCCCACCCACCCCTCCCCCGGTGAGCTAGTATTTCTGTTGAATGTAAATTTTAACTATTGTAATTAATGGCAGCATTAATAATATTTAGTGTTTTTTATCAAGTTTTCATTGGAAACGCAGAAAATTGTTCTGAATTATGTCTTTAATCTTTTTCCGTTACTTATTGGCATTTTAAGCAGTTCCCTTTAGATCAAATGATCTCAAATCATAGTTAAATGAGTATAAGCAGATTGAAGTGATAAAATTTGATTTAAATTAAATATAAATTTTACCATCTTGACGCAAGAAAATGGTTTTTTCTTTAGTTTTGTACATCCCTACAGCCGCGGTGTGCAAAGAATTGTCCAGATAAGACAATAGATAAAACTAAACAAATTTCATGAACATAAAATATGAGGTAAATATGTAATATGTAATTTTCTATAGTGGTGATTTATAAGTGACCTAAAATTATTAAGCTAAAATTGTCATGTTAAATCGACTTAATAAATATTGTATGAACCTACAATTATTTATTTTAATTATAAAATAAAACATTTTTTATACTTCACACGGATTATGATTTATGAATTAATCGACGAAAAAAAAACAATTCTTATTACTTGCATGTATACTCATGACTACTGATTCGATTATTACCCTTATCAATCAAAATAAGTAAATCATTCGAGTACCTTAGCTATTCTAATAAGCAACATTATTTCAAAGGCTAAAAATAACATATCGTTTATACGGACACCAGGCCGTTATGAAATTGATGGTGATGAAAGGGCCGAAAAAGCAGCGCTACAAGCACTCAATAACCACACAATACGTTCCTATTCTTCAGTTATTGATATTCTTAGGCATGTTCACACTTAATACACCAACCTATAAGAGTTGAACGACGGAGTATACCAAAAAAACTAACTTCGAGAAATCAAAAATACTTCCATATACTTGCCCAAAACTTAAACTTTTCAATTGTAAAAATGAAGTTATTTAAAACAGACTGCGAATAGATCACACAAAGATTTCTCATGGTCATCGTATGCGAAAAGAAGAAAAAACACTCTTCCGAACTTGTGGTAAATCTCTTACAGTCAAGCATCTTCTAGTCTACCTACTGTTTAAATCACGTGGAAACCAGAAGATGCCTAGGAATCTCAGACAACCTCTTCGAAGCCCTCAGCCCAGATGAAGACAATAGCAACGAAATTATACAATTCCTCAAATACACCGACATATAATAGGTACTCAATTTAGAATAGCCACTGTTTTTACTCATATGTAAAATTTATCTCTAGACTTGTAAGCTATAATAACTGTAATAAAGTTGTGTAAGCTGTAATAAGATTAAAAAAAAAAAATGCACATTATACTTTTTCCGTAGTTTTACGTGGAATTACACATTCAAAAATGATATTATAATTATTTAAACAGTCAATAATCGTTATAATTTTATGATTGTGTTTTTTTTTTTTTTTATTATTATTATTATAGGTGTTTTACATACTATTATGTTCTGTATAAAACTGTAAAAACATTCCGTGATTTAAAATGCATAAAATATCTGAATATTATTATGTAACATTACCAGTTAAATTATCAACACGACTACACGAGTATAGTACAGTATAGTTACCTACCTACTTAAAATCATGAATACCTACATAATAATTTTAATTTTAACTGGTTAAAAGCTTTTTTGTTTTTAAACCATAGTCTTTACGAATCGGCCAATTAACATTTGATTATTATTAGTATTATTATAATTATTATTATTCATGGTTAGGTATACCAAATATATTGTAATATAATCAACATAATATTATATGACGAAAAAAAAGGTAGGTACTATAATATATTATCATGATTATTATTTAAATTTTATAATAACGTAGTGTTATAAGGTTCAATTCGAAATAATAATAAAACATATTTTGTTCAATTATGTTCTACAGTTCACAGTAAACAGTAGTTAGATTTTGTTCACTCGATAAAAAAAAATAAACCCTCCATTAAATTAAGCAAAAGTCCCTATAATATCGTCATTAAATTTATTAAGTGTATGCAAATTCTTGAATATATTACGTTGAGTTTCATTGTGATTGTTGGCTTAAAGAATACGAGTACACCATGATATACGGAGCAGATATATTTTCTAGGCGTGATAAAAAATAAAGCTCAGATATACATTACACATAATACTTGAATTTAAATTAAGTTTAATTAAGTAGTATATACAGATATAATAGAATAAATCCAAAGAGCTGACACTGCTAATGTATGTGTCAATATGGCTGTTATAGGTTGAACATGGGAAAAGTAGGATACATAGAGTTATATAATTAGTTAAAATCTGTTCGCAATTATAAGTCGTTGATAACAAAATACTATTCTGAGCTTACCTAGTTTGGCTGAATGTGTTCTGAACTGTCGTACATTTTACAAGTTTCATAAAAAATTGAAATTAAAACGTTTATAAATAATAAAAACCACTACTTACATTAAGCTCTATTTTTTATTCACTACAAAATACATTTTATTTTCAACCTCGTGCTACATTTTCAAGTATTTCTGTTTGGCTAAACAATTTTATCATTGGCTTAAAACCAAATAAAAACTAAAAAAAAAAAAAACTGTAAAATAATGTCGAATGCTTACAAATGGCTAAATTCACCTAAATGTTGTTAAAGTGTTACTAGGTACGTCTAGAAAATATATATAAGTATTTTGTATGAGTTTAAAGTCTCTACAAATATTTTTAATTAAACTACATCAGAACTGCGGTTATTATAACGTAAATTTTCCCATTTTTCCCACGTTTTTTTTAACTATTAAGAAAACTACAAGGTATATCATAAAACAACATCCCCAATTGTACCAAGGAGACAAAATTGTCTATTACCATAAATAATACCTAAAATTTATAAGCAGAGCATTAGCTATGGTAGAATAGAAGTTTACAAAAAAAACACACACACACATTATAATGGAACCAATTAATCCTTTCCTTCGCTTAAAATTTAAAACGAATAGGCTTACATACTTTTTAATATGATTTATTTGATTCCTTATACAAGGTGATTTTTTTATCATGAACCAGCAATTATCTCAGATAATTTTAAATCGAATTCGATTTCTGTTTTTTTCTAATCATCATGTAATCGTTTAAGCTTTATTTAAAAACTATTTTAATCTTTTACCCATACTCCAAATACCTTAGATAACTACATACTTTTTATTTTCAAATAGGAACCCACCCTTTTAGAACACAGATTTGAATATAAAATATTTTTTTAGAAATGTTGATATGCATAACACTAATTTCAGATTTACCTTTTATGAGTTATAACAGCTAAAACCTCAGACCGGAGAAATAGGGAAGGGTTATAGATAAAAAAAATCACCCTGTAGAATTGAATCGCGTGCGATTATATAAGAAGTAGACTAATAATTATTATAATTCAAGACTTCAAACGCAATCTCGAATCATAATGAATACATATAAGTACTATCTATATGTATAAGTAAATCTAATTTATCCATTGAAGTCGATCCGCCATTTGTAGCATTCAATTATTAAAATATTCACGTGTGATCATTGAATATAATGTAGATTGTAAGTTATACATAATATATATATACATAGTTTATAATCTAATAAACGATGGCTTTATAATTATGTTACAATATTATACAGATGGGTTACTTCTATGTGGATCAAAATAGAAATGTTTGAATAATTGTTTCATTATTATCAAAAGGAAATTTATCGAAATCTTCGGAAATAAAAACAAGTTATTTAATGTCTTTTTTTTTTTTTTCTGAGATTTTTTACCGTGCTAAATATTATAAACAAATTAATTATAACATTAGAAAGTATTTGATTGTCTGCAGGTAACGTAAAGCATCATGGGAATATTCAAAAGACGATTCGTTATATACTATATTATACTTTTATATAAATACGCACGACCGCAAAAGTATTTTATTTTAAATATTTTTGTCACCGAAGTTTTTATTGTTTTTTTACTGAGAGAAAGTAATATTATTTTTAGAGCGTATCTGCACTTTGTTATAATAAAAGGTGGATGACTAAACCCGTCGAACCCGAATATTATTTGTTCAGGTCTGATTGATGGTAGGATTCTGAAGCGGTGAAATGGGAGTTCAACGATCGCACTTTCAGAAACAAACTGTAACCGGAAAAAAAAATCTAATGGAAAACGAGGGGGGAAAAAGCGAGATAGAAAAGTCTTCCGAAGTTACATTTAAGTACGTAAACCGGGCAAAGGGTCTCTACGCATAACAATGGGTTATCCTACACACAAATGCGGTGAAAAGTTATCTATTAGAATAAGCATAACGTTTGGGTTCTGAAAACTTTTAATGACATCTTACCTGCGCAGCATCAGACTTTTGTAAACATATTTCAATTTCTGAATGTATCAAATAGATCACGGTCGACGTGCCAGTAAAATGTCGTATCACGAATACATTTTACCTCAGACGGAAAATTAGATATTTTTTAATGTATTTATAAAAATATATATATTTATAACTATGTATTATTATACTAACTATAAAAAAAGTTATAAATGTAAAATACAAACAATTAACCCTCAATAGAATATTTATCATCTTTGTCACTAAATATGAATAGGTAATATACTATAATATTAAAATGTTTCCTTTTGAATGCACTCGTGTACAATTTTTGTCTTCTATCTTCTGCCATCGTCAGTTTAGTAGACAACGCGAATTGTGTATCACGGAGTTATGTAATTTCATTTGTTCTCTACTCGAATGATAAAAGTCAACACCGTTGATTTTTACTGTGTAACGTTTTAGACTATAGTATTTGATAGGTACTTTGTGTAGTATTAATACTTAAATTTAACAACTGTTATCAAATTAAACACATGTTCTGATAATATTAAAATTACCCATGTCCCGCTTGGTATTAAAATACCATGCAGGTTAACACTTACGGAGAGTGTAGTGGTGGGCATTCACGCAGTAAATATTAGTTGGAGTAAAAAGCCGGTAAATTGGGTAAATTAGTTTTCAATATAAAAATCAATTAATGGTTAACACAATTCTCTATTGTAATTGATTTTCTGGTTATAATATGATTTTTCCAAGTTGGATTATCTGAGTATATAAATAATATTAAAGAAGTTTTTGTTAATTGTTTTAGTTTTTAAGAGAAAATATAGTAATATGATAACAGTATCTAAACCTTTATTCATAAGAAAATTTAAAATTTAAATTCCAAAACAATAATTATGTTATTTATAAAACTTATTTATTACAATCAGTATTCTCTTGTTTTTTTTTTAATTATTATTATTTAATAGTTATATATTAGTTATATAGTTATGTATCAATTAAAATTAATTTTATTGTTTAGTGATCTATCACAAAAAAAAAAAAAACTAGTTTCTACTCTACCTGAGCAAAAAAATTAAGATTAGTATAATAAAGTAAAAAAAAAAGTATTTACCCAAATATTTGCTAGATAGGTAAATATATTACCAGGTATTATTCAAAATATTTACCTACCCATCGGGTTTATTGTACCCTTAGCAGATTAATTAGGAGTGTGGTGTCAATGATCGCGTGTAGTGTATACTGGTGTAATCGGTTGGAAAATGTTATTAATTCCCGATATTTTTTTTAATACTGTAAATTATTAAGGTCAATATATATATATATATAAAAAAAGTCTATATGATGTAATATAATGGTTAAAGTAATTACTTTTGAAATTAATTATCAATTATACTGAAATACAGGGATTTTTTTTAAATTTTATCCGTTATGGCCAAGACACTATACGGTATTTATTTTGATTTACTGCGTTAAATTAAAGAGAAAAAAATATAACTGTCGGTAAAATATAGCTTCTTTTGCTATTATATAAAACTAACGTAACGACATTGAATATTATTAAATAAGGTTATTATTATTATTATTTTTATTTTGTTCATATATTGGGCTGAAAAGACGAACGGATTAATACCAACAATGATATAAAAGTAATAATAATAGCAAAACACATTAAATAACATAAATGATGACTGATAAATAGCATGATTATTATTAACTTAAAATATATTTATAATACTTATATTTAAAATAACGAAATCATAGAGCCATAAATTTGTCTATTTTTTTTTTTTTACGTCTTTTTGATTTTCTCAATTATTACGAAAACTACACAGAAAAATAAAAAAAAGTCCATCTTACTTATAAGTAAGTTAAAAAAAAAAAGTAAATTGGCATTTTTTCATTACAGAAAGTTTTTTAAAAGAAAAGATGTCAATATATATAATTTAAAAAAAACACACATACCATTGTAAATTCAATATGTTCTTCGCTTTGCTCATATTTTAAAACTGTTGAGATATACGAGTATATACCAGCCTATGTATCCTACCGTTCGGCCTAAAAATTAATTAATCTTTTTTTATTGTATTTTTATATTAAACAATTAATTTCAAACTGAAATTGAAAAATAAAATAAACTCGGATTAAAGCAAAAATAATAATAGAAAATATCAATTATTTTTTAAGCGATCGTAAATTGTATTATTATTTGTTCACAACTCAAAACAAAGAATCAAATATCAGAAGTAAGAAATGGAAAAGAAAATCCGGGATTATGTTTTTCGTGGTCTGGGAAACCGCTAAAGGAAATCGCAGCGGGGTACCGGGATAAAGAGGGTTCAAAACAATATTCTTTCGCAGCCAACAATTTAATTTAAATTCCCGATGAGCGATGTTAAATAATTGAAAATCAGTGCTTTTTTTTGAAACACCGGGTGCTTCTAAATTTAAAAAAAAAATAAAAGGAAAAAGAGTAAAATACAACGGATCGAAAAAAAACCTACGAACCACTGGACTGTAGCTTATATACTCCTGTACATTATTATATATTATACGACGATAATCATCTTGGATTTACACACGAATGTGTGTCGAGTAAAAAAATGGAAAAAGCAAATACTTCACGTTTGGTCGAATGGGCAGAAATGATATGAATTTAAAATATACATATAAACATAAAAATAATATAGTCTTAGATATGAATATGGTTATGAGAAAAAAAAATCTGATATTTCCGGAAAACACCATAGTTAAATGAAAATGTCTGTTAAAAAAAAGTCCAGGGTGTTATTTAAATTAAATGAAAAATTATTACGATTTATAAACTAAAAGAGTCGGACGTACTTCGCACGTAGGTGGGCCACTGTCGTAGGTGAGAAGTTGGAAATATAGGGGGAAAATTTTATGTATGTCTGTATATAACGATTAACCATTGTTAACAAAAAATAATTTTGAGTGGAATCCGGTATAACAATGTTGCTTTGTCAACAATATATATAAATATTTTACATTTTGGTAAAATAGTTATACATGCATTATATATTTTCTTTAGTAATATTTATATAATATTGTATTTATTTCCAGTTTTTTCCTAGTTTTCCCATGTGATTCCCATTTATCGGAAAAACTCCTGGAAAAATTATAAAATGACTTCTTTAAAGTACCACACTAGTCAGATTTATTTTTAGAAAAAGTTTTATCTTTGTAAATCGGAGCAAAATTACCGATAGAGAAGTTGTTCACAGGAAAAAAAAAAGGCCGTAATATTTTTTTACTAATACTTACATTTCGCACTTACAATTTACAATTTTCCTTCGTTCTATTCTAGTAGTTAAAACTCTTAGAAAATCAAAAATTAACCTATCTAAAGTACCAAGTAGAAAAAATTCTCTACACTTGATAAATCGGAGCAAATTTCCGATAGAAAGTTCATACAAAAAATCGAGGAGTATTTTTCGAACAAAATATTCCGAGCTAGTGATAACTTGGATGTCTGGGTATACTCAAAATGCATTTGGTTTTTTTTTTTTAGAACATGGATTTGAATTCATTCAGTTCAAATGTTTTTAAAATGTTACCATATCTAATACAAGTCAAAACATAAGTTATAAGTATTAAAAACAAACAATAAAAACATCATTTTCGTACATTATCCGTTTATCTTACGTTTTATCCGGGTTTTTCCCAGATAATATGAAAAGCATTTGGAAAATTTAAAAATTACTTCCCAATAGTACCATCTGGACCAGTGCTTATCAATATTTATCGTGTAATGACACCCTTATTTAGATCCATAAAAATGACGATACACTTAAAAAAATTAATGAAACTAAAATGACAGAACGCTCACATAATCACAACATGGTGATTCCGATTAAGGACATGCTTTTTTATGTAACTACACATAATGCAAATTTCTCTTATCCAGTTAGGTTTAACTGTAACAAAATAATAATGTCATAAATTTATGTTTTGAAAACGTTCAGTATAAACAACTATAAATAAACAATTTTTTTGGCGACACACATCACAGTAATACGCGACACACTGGTTGAGAACAGCTGATTTAGACATTTTTTTCTTTCAGAAATGGTGCTGCAAAAAATTTCTGGTAGAATTTTTGTACACAGTATATAAAAAAAAAAAATTAAAACCATAATAAAACCAATACATTTCTCGCTCTGCTCAGAATCTAAAATATAACCGAAATGCAACATACATATTGAGGCGATTTTGTTTCATCACATTATAAACTATATATAATAGACTAGAGTAATACTAGAGTTTTTAGGAAGTACGGAAATCAATATGAAAACCAATCAAAAAAGGGAAGCAAATATGACAGAACATATGATGGGAAACAATGCATGGATAACGATAATAACGGAAAGAAGGGTAGAAGGAAAAGAGCTGGAAGTGGTAAAACAAGCATTCGGTTTATAAAATAAAACAGATCATATAAACATAGGAAAAACAATTTACAAAGAACTGTAGAAATAACTAAAAGTATAGAAAAATCACAGAATTATCTAAGGATGAATTAAAAAAAATGCTTTAATTTTATTATTGAATTTTAAAAAATAAATTTCTGATGCATGGTCAGATTAGTACAATAATATATTTCAATGTTTACACCGTAACTTTTTATCAATTTTTCTATTTTGAGCAATTTTGGAGTGCCATGATAAGAACAAAAAAAAAACATAAAAAAACGTACTTAATAAAATTATTATACCTACTGTACATGTATTTAATTATGTAGGTACCTACCTGTTTATAAAGTTACTGAATAAAACCTTTTGAGTATGATGATGATGGTGAATGCTCCGAGGAGTATAATATTTTCTGAAGAACAATTTTAAAATTAAAAAAAAACCTCTCCATCAGCGAACAACAATATAAATAATAGCACTTTCTCTGGAATAATATATCTAAAATCTTAATGTTTTGACTTTTGAGATGGAATAGGTCTAGGACAGATGGATGTGAGGAAAAATTGAACGTCACCACATGGACACAAGGAAAATCTTGACGCACCGCCGTCGTTTGGTAAAAAAATAATAATAATAATAAAATGATAACAATGAAATTAAATAGATTTAAATAGAAAAACTCATAATAATTAATTTTAAATTAATTTACATGAAAAAAGCATATCGATAATAAAAAATATATTGAAATATTAAATAATACAATATTATATTATATTAAATACCAAACTCTGAATACCTGAATAACTAATATAAAAAATATAAAAACTTATAAATATTGAATTTAAATTAGTGTACGTATATCTAAATATTAGAAAAAAAATATTTCCAATAAATTTGTTTGCGAATAAATATGTTTTGAAATTATCTGGACCCGTCCCATTCCATCAAAAAATAATTTATAGTTTTATTTAAATATAAATAAAATAATTTTATGTATCCAACCTTCCAAACTTTCCATCTACAATAATAAAACCACCATTATGCAGTATCAGCTTTCTTTTTAACATAATCGTATCAAAAAGTATAAAAAAAAAATAAAATAAAATAAAAATGAAACACTAACTGTCCTAAAATCAATAAGGTTTTGTTAAAATTATTAATAATAAATGTCGCTATGAGATACACTGATTTTATTATATTATTTTAATAGATCTAGTAACACGGTTTTTCATTTTTTATCAAATAAACATAGGAGGTCAATACTTAAATAAATTGTTTAATATTGGATTAGTTCACTTGGACAAAACTAAAACCAATAAACGATTATAGAAAGACAAATCATTTACGTTTTGAAAAGAAGGACCCTACGTGTGGAATTCAATAAAATGCCCGACAATTTTGAAAATATTAAAAACGATGTTAAAGATGCCGTCAACAATACGCGGTCTTCGGACGATGCAAAGGGAAAAGGGAAGAATTTCGAGAATTCAACTTCATCGTCAAATTATAATAATAGAACTACAGCAAAAGTAGATAATTTAGCAGATCGTCAAGAAAAAGAACGAGTGTATTATTCAAATGCTAATAAATCAGACGTTCAAAAGGGTTCAAATGTACAAAGAAAAGGACGATATGATGCGGATAAGAGTAACAATAATTTATTGCACTTCACTTCAAAATCACCTAACAATTGGTTGGGTTCGTTTAGTCGAAAATCCTGTAAAATCGATTTTGACAATGATACCAACGATCAAGTGGACGACACCCATTTTGACGATTTCTGGAATAAACCGTGGAGAGTACGGAAAAGCGTTTCAGATAATGACCAAGAAATAGGTAAACAATATTCGAATAGAAAAACTACGTACAAATTCTTATGATTATATATTAAAAATATAACATGGGGAAATCGATTTTTTCAGTTTTTTATTATTATTATTATTTCACCAAACACCCGGGATTATTGAATAATGTAATAACCGATGCATTTTAGAAAACGATAATTTTGTAAAATAAATTAAGTTTTAAAAAACAAAAAAAATACTATTCAATGATAATTGTATCGTGTAATAACCGAATTTAAGCTAATTAATAAAAAAAAAATAAAAGCACATGTAAAAAGTATTACTTAATAAAGTATAGCTACACAGTTTTATTACATTTATAACTTGATAAATTTAATTTTAGATTTTAAACGGAGCGTGAGGAATATATTGGTTTTACAATGATGTTAATTTATTTTTTTTTGTGAACACTTTTTCTACTAGAAAGCTTACTCCAAATATCAAGTATAGTATTTTTTCTGAAAAGAAATATTCTCTGGGTGGTAATTAAAAAGGTAATTTTTTTGAAATTCTCATTAATATTTGGTAAGGTTGTCATGGAAACGCACATTATTGTAATCATACTATAATATGGCATGTATATTGTGGACAAAGCAACACTATCAACTCTGCTCAGAATCGATTTTTCGTTGGAAATGGTTTATCAATGCTTACAGATATACATATCTAATACGAAAAGGAGAAAAATGTCAGATACAAATTTTTAAATGACTTTCTTACTTAAATATAATAAATATACGTATATCAATTTTTTTTAGCACAGTATTTTAAATAAAATTATCAAAACATATAGTTTGTAAAATTAATAATCAAATTAGAAAATGCAAATTATATAGATAGTTATTATTTACAATTTAAATTATAATATAAAATAAAGGTAAAAAGTTTGATGCATTATGACTAAATAATCATTATGCATAATGTTATATTATTAGGAGGTGCCTATATAATTGTATTGCAATATATAAAAAGGTAAATAACCATAAAAATATCTAAAACCAACCTTAATAACTTAATAGTTAACTTTTGTTTTAACTAAGTTAAATTAATATATATTTTGTTTCATTTTAACTTTCAACATAATTTATTTATTTATCTGTTATTAATTTTGAACTTTTAAATTATGGAATTTTCGTAATTTAGCTTAAACTAGTTAATTATTTTCATTAACTAGCCATCTTTGATTATGGATAACAAATGCCTCAACACATTAATTTTATTTTATTTGATTTCTATGGGTTATACTTTTTACAAGCTACAAATTTGAAAATACACCATTATGACTGTAACCTAACCAGTTTACCAAGCTGAATAAAAAATCAATTTTTATCATTATTTACTATTTCAAAATAGATTTATTATAATTTGAATTACTCTAAATCCAATGATTTCCCATCGTTTATCTGCAACAGAAAACTACTTACTAACACTGTATCCTGTAGTAGATGTGTAGTTATGATTTACAAACACCCGAAATTATATTGACCTGCTGATTTTAATTTTTAATTATTGTGCTATAAAATATTTAACTAAAATAGTATATAAATTGCATTGTTATATTTTAGGCAAAATTGAAATTCCTCTTGGTACAATAAAAGAAGTTTCTTTTGTTTCCGATCATTTAAAGAAACGACCAACAGTTTGTTTTGATTATTCGTGTAAAATAAGATATCCACCGTTAGGACACAGCGATGACGGTTAAAAAAAACAATCAATAATATATTATAAGAAGTTTAAACATTCAAATTTTTTTTGTATTTTTCTAGTGAAACTTTCGACATCGGTGAAAGAAAAAATGTGGTTGGAGGGCTATAAAAAGGAGTTAAATTTTCTACAGGAAAATTTTTCAGATGTTTTACCAGGAATTTTATATGATGTTGTTCGAAAACGACCTACGGATCCAGTATACTATATGGCCTACCTTTTAATAAAACATGTAGTTGATGAATCGATGAACGTCAAGATAATTAAGCGAGTGTTTTAATATCTTAATAAAAGTTACAAATTTTATACGCAGTCTTTTTAGCAATCTAATTACACCTGCGTAAGTGTTATATCAAAATATTACAATGATGTCATCAGTTGATTTAGTTAAAGACACAAATAAAATCAAAGACGATTGCATCAAGTGAATAATTTAATATGTTAAAAAATAATAATTCTGTTAAAACAACTTGTGAATTTTAGATTCTGAGCGGAAAAAGGAATCTATTGATTTTAAAATGATTTTGATTTTACTGTAGACAAATTTAATTTTTTTGATTTTCGTAGGCATTCAAATATCAAATAGGGAAAACATTGAAAAAAAAAAATTGGAAAACGGGAAAATTTACGAAAATCATGCTTTTATCTCGGTTTCAATTTTGTTTTTTTTGTTTTGCTGTAATTCAGTTAAGCGTGTTTGTAGAGACATTAAATTTTGAGAGACAACTTAGAGTTGTCTTTTCTAAATGTGGTATAATTTTCAAAATATTTGAGCTTCTTTTGAGCTATAAATAGACATTTTAATTTTACTAGTTTTTTACGTAATATTTTTCGGTAGGTACTTTGTGAATAAAATGTTTAGACTAAACAGAAATGCTCGACAATTTAACAGAAGGTTCATTATAAAAACTTTATGGTAAAAAGCAGAATTTGAGTTTGATGTACTTTTTTTTTATAAGGATTTCAAAGTCAAATTTTTGTGAAAATCATAAATACTAAATACCTTTTATAACCTTTTATAACCGAAATTCACTTAGAATCATTTTTCGTTAGAAAAGATTAGTCAATGCGTACAGACATACATTAAATTCCCCTATATATCTTACCTTTCTTTTCCTGAAATAGTAGCCCACCTACATCATACAAAGTATGTCCGTATCTTTTTTTTATTAAAGCCTAGATATAATACCTCTACAAATTATTAAATTAAATAAGTTGAATGTGTACAATTAATTAAACAAAAAAACTACATTTATATTCAAATAGGTATGTACATATTCTAGTGAAAATATTTTTTGAAACCTACGATTTTTTAATAATTCATATGATAAAATAAAAATTTAAAGATGTTTTATCATACCTATTCATTTTTAACATCAATACTTATACTTAGGTGTAAATAATTATTTTTGTATGTAAACATGCTTTTGTTTTAACTGGCATTGGGCCAAAATTGTGCAAGGACCTCAGAAGATTGTGTGCACATCAGCATATCCTCCGGTACCACTTACGCGCTTTACTTTGATCTGCAGCCAAGTGTAAAACACTTTACCTACCTGTTTTAAGTTGCAATTTAAAGGACTAAGTATTTCAAACGAGAAATTTACGAACAATAATATAATTAAAACACAGCGTATATATTTTATTATAATAATATGACGTGAAAAATTAAAAAATAATTTTAATAACGAAGCGTATAAAATATAACATTTTTGGTGTTATTCTGAGTTTAGCGAATAATCTAATATCGTTTTACTAAGATGTGTTAGATGTGTTTGTCTGATAGTAAAAATGCTCTAGTAATTTTACGTCATAGCCTATAAGACGCTGAAGTTTTTCAGACAATTTTACTACTATCCACAATGATTCTAAATTAGTGAAAAAACTGACAACAAACTACGCTGTAGACTGTTTTTTTTTTTTTTTCTATAAACATATTTTCTAGAAAAAAAAATCTTACTCTGATTTATCAATTGTGACAAAAATTTAAAAAAGACATTTTTTCTAGTTGGTGAATTAAAGAGGTTAATTTTTGATTTTTCAAAATAAATATAAATGTGTCCAAAATAATTGGGAAAAACCGGAACCATAATTATAAGTAGAACGGCAAATATTTATGGCGTGCCGCAGAGTAACCAATTTCATTGTTATAAAATTGTGCCAACTATGTTTTGTACTAGAAATATTGCTCCAGTTGAAAAACAAAACATACTTTTTTATTGTGTTTTAATTACATTTGGTGAGTAAAAATCGTTTTATAATTTTATGTGTAATGTTTTTAATAATTAAACAAAACGGAACAAAAACAAAGAAAGTACGGAATAATTTACGAAAATAGCGTTATAATTATTTTAGCAATTTTGTTTTAGATTCTAATTGGAGTGAAGAAGCTTATGGTTTTAAATGATGTTTATTTATTTTTTTTTATCTGTGTGAAACTTTTTTACCAGAAATCTTGGCTCCAATTTTTAAGTGTAGCAATTTGTCTGAAAGAAAATTTGATTAGGGAGGTACTTTTAAAAGAAGATTTTTAAGTTTTTCAGGATTATTCTCAATATATTGGAAAAACAAAGGAAAAATATCTTTTTAATTTTGAATTCGAAATTTAATATATAATATATTAAAAGTCACTAAAAATACACAAAAGCCTATATCCAATTGCTCTAACGATCTCCTTGCGTTACCAAATAACGTAATTTATCCATTATCTTGGAAAGTAGTGGTTCAATTTTTTTTTTTTTAGAAAATCGTAAAAACAATGAGCGTCAAAATATTACATCAAAAACGGATATAAGTTTCACACTCATTTATAAGGGCAATCAAATATAACGTAAATTTAACATTTTTAAAGCAACTAGTTTGTTAAATTTTCTAAAACAAAGTTCGAAAAAAGAATTGTACAGATACTCACTGAGATAGTGAGCCACTAACTGTGAATATCTTACATTTAGTTGATCACTTAATAATAAAACGGTAACAGTTATAAACAAAATTCGCTTAAAAATGGATAATTTGGTATAACCGGATTTCCATTTACCTATTTCCGATAAAATACAAATTTATCACCAATAAAATACTTATAGTATTTATAAAAATAAACAAAATGTATTCTACAGATAATCTATATAAAGATATGATACAATTTTAAAAAAACTATTTAGTATCAGTATTCCGATGTAGGTATCTGAAACAAATAGCTTTTACTGATTATAAGTAGGTAGATATACAAATATCAAATTAAAAAGTAAATAATAATTTAATCTAGCGAGAAAACAAAAATCACTAGTTTATATTATACTCAAATATATTTATAACGATGACGTTCATTCGGTAAAAAAATAACCGTAAAACAATAAATTTGCTTAATTACAGATTTAGTGTTTTAAATTCTGAGTGAAGGGTTCTATTGATTTCATTATGATATGTATTTTTTTTCTGTCCGTAAACAATCCTAGAAATCTTGCTCCAATTAAAATATGACAAGAAACCTTTTTTGTTGCATTTTATCTCTAGTCAGTATTTAAAAAAGGTCATTTTTTAAAATTTGCATTAATATTCAAAATAATAAGGAAAAATTGTTTTTTTTTAGGTTAAAAAAGATTAAAAGACTAAAGAGAAGGTTTACATTGCCAATCGTTTTTTATATTTTTTGTAATCATTAAGTTTTTATTATTTTAATTATTTTTAAATCACTATGAAAACGCATATTGTTAAAAAAACAAAACTATTGACTGACCATTTAGAATCGTTTTTCATTAGGGATGATTAATCGTCGAGTACAGATATAAATTAAATTCCCTATTTATCCTACCTTTCCAACTTCTCAACTATAATCGTGGACCACTCATGGAGCCAAGTATGTTAGTCTGTTTTTATATTTTTTATGTACATATGGAATATATTATGTGTATTACAAAAAAGTAACACGATAATATTCGATTTTTGAAAATATCGTTACACACATTTCATATAATGTGCTGAAGGGGCGGAGGGACGAAAAGGTGTTCTTTTAAAAAGAATAAATATAACGCTTGTTTATTTATTTTTTTATCAAACAAATAATGCTGCAAATTTAGTGGACCTAGAATTGAATAACAACTACATTACACTACACAACCTAGTAAACATTTTATACCTTTTCAAACGGTTTTTTTATATATATATATATACACACACTTTTGCATGTTATATATGTGTATGCTTATAGTCCTTATAAATAACAAATATTGTTATATTCTATACAATATATAAATATAATTTCACAAAAGTAATTGCTTACGCACGTATAATGTAAGAATGCAAAGGATTAGAGTATAGAATTGAAATTAAATAGGTCTTTTTTTTCGCAGAACATATCATATGCCAACCAGACACCATATTATTATAATACAGGACGAACGCGTGCATAATAAGTAGCCTGGAAAAAAAATGTCATATTTTACGCCACCCTAATATATGCAAAAGCGAAAAATATGATTTTTCAAAGGTTTATTTTTTTTAATATATCCCGATACGTCCGACCCGGTTAGGTCCTACCCGGTAAGACCTTTGTGATGTATTTTCACGCCTTCCATAAAACATTATAATATTTATATATGTATATTGTGTTTATATATATATATATTTACAATGACCACAACACCATTAATAAAACATATTTTATAAAATATTTCGGTGGAAAAATATATTCTAATCAATTAATTATAATAATATTGTGGTATGTCCAGTTATGACCAATATAATAGGGTTTATATTTACATCTAAATAAAATCACATTAAAGATAACGACATACCTACACTATATTTTATCTTTTTTCTAGATAAAATCAAAATATCTAATCTTTATCTTCTTTTAGTTTCTATTTGATCTATGTTAGGTCAAATGTACACCGTATATTGTATCGTTATTCAAGAAGACAATTATTTTTTATACTTCAACCTTAATAGTAATATAAAACATATGAATAGTACCATACTATAATCTTTTGTACTTACTAAAAACCAATTGATATTTCATTTTTGAAAGATAGGCAAGTCTACTATAGTTTCTGTACTTATAATATTTTGAGTATTCGATACTATTGTTTTTTGTATTACCTATACTTACTTATTAAACCTACTGAATATTATCGTTATATATTAGCATTCATTATCTTAGACAGATAAATTAAATACTTTATACTATTTTATTGGCCAAGGAAACCGTTTACAAATATAACAGTAAATAATGTATTACCTAATTATACGACAATGTTGAAAAACAATAATGGAATTAAAATAAAATGATAACCTTACGATGATAGTTTAGTACTATAATAGTAAAATAATACTATAATTAGTACAATATAGTACTAATTAGTACTTACTAATGTATATGAATATTATAATAAATTTGAACCATTTTACCACCAAGGTAATTTCATAGTATCGGCAAAATTCCTAATGTTGCCAAATAAAGAGATATATTTTTAATTTATTGTCTTTATCTTTTTCATAGAAAAACATTGGTCATAATATTTCTAGACTGCGACAATTAAGACCGTTTTAACGGTTTGGGGAATCATCACTTTATGCGTATCGTTGTTGAATTTGTTTATTTTTTGTTTGTTTTTTTTTTAATATTTTAACTTTATAAATTTTTGTTGAACATAAAAATAATTATACTTATGTAATTGAATAATTTCAATAACTCTGTATTCTAGGATCTAGATTATAGTTGAATAAATATCGTACAAAATACCAATCTACAAAAATGTTTTACGGTAACAATTCAACTGGGTTGGATTTATTTTGAAATTGTTTTCATTGCCAAATCATATAAATGTGTAACTATTATTGTATAGTAATTTATTGCTTTGAGTCGTCTTCTTCTTTTTTCTTTTTTTTTTTTTTTTGTTGGTTAAATTTGAAAACAACAATCCAATCAGTAAATATAGCTATTATAATCATTTTTCAAAATATCGAGAAAATCCGTGTGAAAGTGATGAAAAAAAAAACAGTTTGTTTAACCAGATTTCTATTTATCTCCTATGGTGTTTACTCTGAGTGATTCTATTAAAAACTCAGAATAAACGTGGTAAAACAAAAAAAAAAAAATAATAATAATAAAAAACAATGCACAGCAATAGATAGCTACGAAAGTATGGGGTTTTACGAAAATTGAATTTTTCCGATTTCTAAAATCAATTCGAAACAATTATTATTCATCGATCAAAAAACAGTATACAACAAATAAATAGAATTCTGAAATAAAGACAATTTTACATTTCATATTTACACAAACTATCTGTACAATATTGTTTACGAATTCATACAAAAGTGTGGCATTCAATCAAATAAAATAAATATAGTAATAAGTGAAAGATTAAACCAGAAAATATTGATTCCGTGCAGATTTTGACTTTTATACATCTCGCGATATTTTTGTGTGCACTAAAAAAATAAAATAAAAGACACCCTTAATACTATACATTATAATATATTTAGAACACCCTCAAAAACACGGAAATATAACTTACAGGTAAAAATGAGAAAATTTAAATTCGAAAACAACTTGAATTGTTGATTTAATACAATCACATAACAATTATAATGCTCACCGTGATAAATCGAGTAATACATAGGTGCCTAACGTTAATTGACTTACGTTGAATACATTTTTGAACTGAAAATGTTTCTCCCGGAACTTATTATTATTGTAAAAGATACGAATCAGTGTACTACGAGTACTAATATTTACTTCCAATATCACTGGATTTTAAAAACATTTACAAACTATTATTAATATTTTAAAAAAATAAAAATAAATTCGTTTTGGAAAAATTATTTTAACTGACGATGTAAAATTATATGACGGTGATGGAGTATAGGTACAGAGTAGATGTACGTAGGTAGACCGACATAATATCGGTATAATTATAGTTGTACATCTTTGAGCAATGTGTTAGTTAATTAAAAACATTCTCGGAGGTGGGATGGAATAAAATACTTAAAACTTTAAATTGAAAACCACAGATTAAACTAGAATAATGTCCTTAAGTATAAGCCTATAGTATCGATCGTATTTAATTTTACGCCCATTAACAACGACGGTGAAACGACCCTTTTGGTTTCTCACGGTGGAGTATATATCAAAAACACGGAGTCGATATGATACAGAATTAAAGAAATAATAATGAAGACGAAAAATTATCACAAAATACCTTGGGTGTTTTCAGCGATTTATTATATTATAAATTGCGAGCAGCAACAATAAGTTTTAAAAAGAAATGTTTTTTCTCAGGATAAAACTTTTCCTTATTATGTACCTAAAAAGATATGGATTTTTTTTCTAATACGTAGTTAAAAACAATTTCGATATTATTTTTATTACTGAATCCAAAAAATTGGTGTTTTTTTTTTTTTTTGTTTCTGTTACATGCTCCGATTTTTTCACGACATACCATTAAACTTTGGTAAATATGCAATATTTTCGGTTCGTAATAGATATAAATATATAGTTGAAACACTTAACGAAACATTTAAAACAGTATAACCTTCTAGATACTTTTGTTGATTTCTAGATCTTGGTAACGATGGTAAAACACGAATAATGCTACTACGCGAAAAATTGTTTGCAATGATTAAATCATTAAATATATAGTATAGGAATTAAATTACAATATAATGTATCTTAATTCCCCAATTACTATCCTTAAAAACTACTTATGTTGCTATGTATTTCCAGCTTATTTTTAATTGATAATAATAACCCACTATTATTAGTAAAGCTAGAACAGAACTTATTAAGGAAAAGATGTGTAGGGATGTCGAGAATAAGATGGGAGGATGTAAACAATAAAAAAATTAGACAGGGAAGCTTTCAGGTGGTGAACCAAATTGGAAGAGTTTAGCGCTGAACAGTTAGACGATCGGTCATAAGACGGAAATGATGGTCCTTGAGTCTAAATAAATACTAATTATGTAAATAACATGTGATAATAATAATTGTACGTTAATAAATGTATAGATTTGATTTTTTTTTTTTTTTTTGTATCACCACGATGATTTTGTTTAATCTAATAAAATAAATTATGCAATAAAAATGTTTCCGTATGTTCATAATATAAGCATACAAAAGTTAATGCAACATTTAATCCTGTAAATATATGTACCAATAAAAATTTTAAATAATTTAAATCAATTACAGTTAATACATTTAATTTCATAACCACATACGCATACAATCTATATGTTTTTTTTTTAAGGGGGACGAATTTTTTATGATTATGGTTGGATAATAAATCTCTGTACCGTAGCAGATAAATCATTGATTGTAAAACAAAACGAATATAATTAAATAATTTGTTTAAAGAAAAAAAAAATAAATGTAAAAATGCAAAAGTTAACATAAATGTTTAAAGTTAAAATAATGCCAAATTGTCAACTGCAGAACCAGTTTTGTACGGTTAGTTTTATTATTAGAGTGAATTGGTTAGTTATCAAACTTAAAGGTAACATAGTATACATGTATTAAAATGTATAATAAGACTGAAAACCAACTAGAGGCTCTATTAAATAGTTTTATACATTTCATCAGTGCTGCAAACTTAGGTGAAATTGTTATTAACTTATTTTAGTAGACGATTACTAATTACATAATCTAAGTTTATAATATATTTTATTAAACGTATTAACAACAACTCGTAAGCCCATTTATTAAGTTGTATATATCAATAATTTTAAAACCCAAGATATAGTGAAGTATAGTATTATTAAATAGAACAAATGAAGATAGGAAAAACTCATAATCTTACTTTGGATAAAAATAAACTTAGACAGAAGGTACTGTCTCTCGGAATCAGGTACAGATATTATTGTCATACTACTCTGAATTTTAAAACCTAGTTTGGTCGATCTGTTCAAAAATAATATCTACAATCTACATATCAATGTAAAAACTAAAAATAAAAATATTTAGTAATTTTTGAGTAATTTTTCATTTCTGAAATTATAAATCCACTTTTATAGTTTGGTAGTTAGAAATATTAGTTTATATACTTCACACACTGATGAATAATTGGAAAGGAAAAAAATTCTGATAATATTATAAGTCGAATTTTTCTTCACCGGGGATCAAAGGTAAACTAGAAATCGGTAAACATCAAAAAACTGAAAAAAAACCTAGGGAAGGATCTATTAAAGGTTTCGAAAATTATTTCGGATAAAGAACTTTCGGACAAAATTCTGAATTTTTGATGTACCTTTGGAATAAAACACCTGAACAATTTCACAAACTACAAAAAGGATGTTCTGATAGAAAAAAAAAAAACCATGTGTTTGTAAAACAAAGATAACACTTGCTACATTCGAAATCTAACAAAAAATGCCTACATTACTCATATTGAGTTTTCTTATAATAATTATACTTAAAATTTATATACTAAATATACTAAATAAAAAAAATAATATAATGTATAGCATTTAAAAATATCATTTGACCTGTAATAAAAAGTTAAAAATTTGAGGTCAGGATCAAATCAATTTTGTACACCCTTGTAGTTTCCGTACCACTGTATATCTACATTCTACAGTGATAGTTAAATACTAGCACACAAATGTAAACAAAAAAAGTTCACGGTAAATTTGAACTTTATATCAATAAAGAAAAAAAATTCCATACTTTAATATTAGCTTAAACGAAAATTAGTCTTAAAACGCAACTCAATGTCTTAATTGAAAGTCTCTCATAAGATGTACAACAAAACAGATAAATAATTAGTTGAGACATTTGACGGAATTTAAGTTAAGTATTTGTATAGTTTTGTTTTTGCAAAAACATACTGTGCAATATAAGATTTAAACTGAAAAGGAATAATAATAACAATTTACCATTTTCGTATAACCATATTTCTATATCCTGCTGCCTCCAAATTTTCAGAATGAAATATTTGTTTTATAATTGTTATGAATTAAAAATATTAACAACGTTAATGAAATTATTTTAATATAAGTGATATGATTTGATTATTTAAAACGAATTGTTTTTTTATATTTATTATACAAAAACTTGTTTTTACTCTGGAGCAGTAACTTACTGTAAAACTAAATAATTGTATGCTATTGTAATTATTGTAGTATTATTATTACATTCAAATAATTCATATTATTATTATTTGTATTATATGAAAGTTAAATAAGGTTTCGATGAAAAATTTTGATTAAAGTATACAAGTAACCTTAAATTAGAAAAAAAAGTCGAATCGAGACGACAAAGAAACGGCGACGGCGTGGGATTAATTTCATCGTCCTCAGCCGTATTACTGTTCCTTTTTATTCGTAACAACAACGCTATTATATAAATAATACAATAATACTATGCTGCAATCTTATTTGCAAATTTTAATGAAAACGGAGTTACCAGAGAATTTTTTAGTAAAAAATGTAATGTTCGATAAAAAAAATCTTTTATGTATTTATTTTTTCGTATTAAACCATTAATTTATCTTCATAAAATCATTGTAGTAACTAAAGAAAAAAAAATTTTAGTGTTTATACCAAAGTGATTTTATTTTTATTTATTTTTACACATTCAATGATTCAAATTAAATGTTTAACTTTTTTCTCAAAAAGACATTGGATTGACCCATTAAATTTAACATATCATATTATGAGACTGTTATATTTTAAAGATACCAATATCAAAATTTTATTTAAATATAAATATTACTTTTTCGATGCAGATATTTGGGGGTTGCTTGATATGGTAAACTTACCTGAAAGAAAAAGAAAATTAAAAATTAATACATTTATAAATGTATTTCCTAATAATTAATTACCCATGACAATATATTAACTAAATCAGTTATAAATTATTTTAATTACTAACTTTAAATAAAATTAAACATTTATAATAAGCCTTAAAATACAGTAAGTTATACCTTAATCCTTAAGTATCATACCCAACAGTAATGTAAGATTGTAGTAATAAGTAAAACGAATCTTGGTTACAATATTTTATCCTCCAGAAGAGTAGTCTGGCATTATAAACAAAAAATAGTTGGACTTAATCACATAATATTATTTTACATGTTCCAGGAGTTAAAGGTGCAGCTAAAAATATGAAATTTGAGTTAGAAATATGGCAATTGTTTTTTCCTGATACTTTGTTGAGATAGTTACGAATATAAATTTATTTATTCAAAATTCCACAACAAAATACCAATCTAATCCAACATTTATTAAACCTATTGACATTGATGAAATAAAATCTTTAATTGATTTATTTTATTTAGCTGGTGTTTATAAATCAGGGCGAACAAATGTGGATGAATTTTGGCAAAGGCAAAGAGATAGTACTGGGTTAGATATATTTTGGATAACAATGTCATTACAGAGATTTAGATTTCTTGTTCAGTCTATTCGATTTGATGATAAAGGAACCAGAAATGACAGGATAAAGTTTGATAAACTAGCACCAATTCGCTTTATATTTGATTCATTTATTTTAAACTGTAAAACTCATTATTTGTTAGGTGAATATGTCTCTTTAGATGAAAAGCTAATTGCTTTTAGAGGTCGTTGTAGTTTTAGTATGTATATACCATCAAAACCAGCAAAGTATGGAATTAAAGTTTTCAATTTATGTGATGCAAGGGCTGCATACACTTATAATTTAGAAGTTTATCTTGGTGAACAACCTGATGGACCATATAAATTCAGCAATAAGCCTGAAGACGTTGTTAAACGTTTATGTGGTTTGGTAGTTACAATTTGGCAATTTCAATGTTAAAAGATCATAAATTAACTGTAGTAGAAACACCGAGGAAAAATAAAAAGGAACTTCCTATAAATTTCACCAATTCAAAGGATAGATCAGTATATTCGAGTTTATTTGGTTTTCAAAAAAATTGTACAATCGTGAGCTATGTTCCAAAAAAAAAAATAAGTGTGTAATATTACTCTGCACTATGCATCATGATAATAGCATTGATGAAACTACAGGTATACTACAAAAACCAGAAATGATTACATTATACAATATAACTAAAGGAGGAGTGGATTTGGTTGATCAAATGTCAGGGTCTTATAATCTTGGTAGAACTACAAATAGATAGCCCTTAGCTCTTTTCTATAGTTTGTTGAATGTTTCTGGAATTAACAGTTATGTTATCTAGAATTATAGATAACATAACTGTTAATTCCAGCATAATAACTCAAACATAAAACGACGGATATTTTTAAAACAACTTGGTATGAGTTAATTAAAAAAAATTAAAAATTTAAGAGCTGAAAATAAACATGTAAATCCTATAATAAGAAATTCTATACAGAGATTAAGAAATAGAGATAATGATGTTACAGAACCTGGGCCTAGTAGAAAACCAGGAACTAAAGGTCGCTGTCATTTGTGTGCTGATAGCAAAACTCAGTATTTTTGTTACAAATGCAAAAAATATTTATGATTGAAGAAATATGCAAATTTTGTGTGCAATGATTGTTCATAAAATTAAATAAGTTAATAATTTTGTTTTAATTTTAAAAAAATTTTCTTCCAGTAAAAAAAGGATAATTTATGTTAAATTTTTAAATTTTAAAATATATACATGATACAAATATATTAAAAATGTTCAAGGGAAATCGTTTATTTTATGTTACACTAGCTTCTTGTTTTTATTTTTAATTAAAGTTTGATTTATCTTTTTTGTTAAATAAATACTAATTATGTTATTTTTAACTATTATTATACTTGTACACTATAAATAATATCGACAATTGTTTATTTTATGTTAAATAAATGTTTTATAAGTATATTTGAAAATCTGAGTTAAATTATAGTCATATTTCTGGTATATTTTAAAAGATGGGTCAGAGACCCATAGTAGTAGCAGTAACTCTTGTGTTGGGTAGTAACGCAGGGTTAATAACATAAATAATATATGGTTTGAAAAAGATAATCAAATTGCACAATGTATATACAGGTAGTGTTCAATTCAATACGAAAATAATATTATGATTGATTCACGTATTTGTTGATAAATGTTCAACTATAAAAAGTGTATATTTATAATATTCTCTTGGTTGTATATCTCAGCTGCAGTGCATTTTCGTACTTTTTTGAAATACTCCTAATATAATGATACTGATTTCACTAAAATTATACCGTTCAATTCAAGTCATTGATTTCGTAACATAAATATTATTCTATTTATTAGATTATTGTTGTTGCGATTTTACTCCTGTTTATTAAAATAAAGTAATATAGAAATTTTAAGCAAACCTAGGCCAATTAGTTAAGTCTTTGAACTAGTTAAATATTTAAACAAGTTAAATACTCAAAACAATTAACTAGTTAATAATATAAGCTCCTAATAATTTTATTGAAAATTAGTAATTTAGTTAGATATAATCTTAGTTTATAGGAATTCCAACAAAAGTATTTACTTAATTTACTTAACTTGAAACAAATTACCGATTAAAATAATTTCCAACTTAATATCAAAATGCCGAATAATATTTAGTACCCAGTCTTTTTGTTAAGTCTACTCGTCTATCAATTCACCGCGTTGCAAGGGGATCGGGTTTACATCAAATTGTTAACCTCATATTCATTGATTTCGTATATAGGACAGACGGAACGGGTAGATACCTAAAGCAATTTTTGGTGGCAATTTATATATATACATGAGCGATGCGACGTCGGGTGAAAATCGGATTATCCACTTCATCTTGCGCAGCATACATAGAACGAATGTGTAAATTCCAGCATATTTAACAAGCACGTCACGTATACAGCCTCTTCAATCCTGACATAATATAATGCTAGGTGGCAGTGGCAAGTTCCAAAATGTTCAATGACATCACAAAACCCGGTCGAGTCGATATTCGGCTATTCTATATAGTATGGTGCACGGTAGGTAACCGTTTTTCACACCCCTCGTAATTGCCTTTACTTTACGGAGAATAAAAAAGAATATACAGGTGATGGTACATAAAATCTATATAATAATAAAAAATCAATCAAATTGAATGTAGTTGAATAATAATTTTCCGTCACCCTAACCATTATTCGAAAAATTACGTGCCTAGGACGCGCACACTATCTACGCAGGAATCGACTATAAAGCAACAATATATTAATATTTTAAACGCGTTCGGTAAAAAATAAGACTTCTATGCAATTTTTAACCATGCGATGTCAGAATAAATTGAAAAAAAAAATATCAGTTATAATATTATGGTATATGTTGCCGACTTACTGAAATGTATATAACGATCTAGTGAAACCTCAGCCTAGATGAACGAGGCTTGTTAAGAAATGAGGAAGTTGGTTTCTTGAGTGGTTTTTTAGTCAAACCGAATTGTCTATTGGACAACACAGTTCGACTGGACAACTTATATCTACTCGTGGTTCTAGATGTCAGTAAAGCCGTAAACTATATCCGGGATTTGAAGGCGAAATTAACAAATTTTCGACTAGCTGTTCCGTGTGTTGCCTACCGATCTTGGCACGGTGAGAAATACAAAGCACGATTCATTTACTCCACCTGGACGATCGATGGTCTTGTCGCATGAGAAACCTCAAGGGTAAAATGGGATTATGTTATAAATGGTATGTCTGTAGAAACTGCAGAGTAGATTTTGGAAGATTCTCGGATTGGGTCGGATTCACGTCGGACTTCGTCAACGAAATATGTATGATTTTTGACATTATTGAGAAAAGTAGTGCGTGTGGTTGTTGAGCCTTTGATACTGATTCCTACTCGGTGTTGGACAGTAAACGCATGGTGGGGGAGGGTTTATAGTTTATTATTTTCTTCCCTGATATGTGCAGATTGGTTTTTTACGTGATTATAAATTTCGCTAAGATGGTGTGGTACCATCTGATACCAGCCCGATCGTAATAGAATTTGACGCATTCGGATTCTATAACAACCCTTTTCCTTATATCTTCTTCTTCTAGCACTAAGCAATCATGGAAAAAGTGGTTGTAGGGGTCAAACCCAAAATTGGATCATCTAACTGACACGTTTATAGGTCACCGGTATTTTTGATTTCACAATATTAATATTATCAATCGAGATGTTTCCACTATGGTGATTTGGGCGATTCCAAATAGAAGGGGGAATATCATCTACTCCTCCAGATTTCCTTTAATAAATATTCGTGACAACAATCTTTGGTTTGTATAATATATACAATATTATAAGTTAATTTAGTAATAAAGGGAGATTTGTAAGTTAACTTATTGTATTGTCTTGCCATATATCTGTCATAAAAAATGTAATATTATTACAATGTCGGAAGAATTCATTTGTTCGACTTTCAATATAAGATATTAAACTATAATATAATTAATACATGGTGTGCATATTTAATTATCTACTAGACTATATTTCCAGATGGAAAAAAATCTATTTAAATAACATTATGATGAATGGTAGAATTTATTGTATTAAAACATGTTTTAAATAATAAACGTGAAATAGCAAACAAAATATATATTTGAAATTTTGAACTGTAATTGTTTTTAATTATTTCCAAACCATACATGACAGAAAGAAAATTTGTTCATTTTTAATAATGACAGAAGTAGAATTTCAGTTTTTAATTCAAATAAAAAAAATATATTGTACAGGTTTTACAACGATGAGAATTTTATGTTTTTTTTTTAATTACCTTGTAATTATAATAAGTAGTTTATAAGTTATAGCAATCATCATTTTTAAATATCTTGGGCAATTTCTACAAATATTGAAAAACTGAAAGATAATTTCAAATAACTAGGTGCAAAAGTCGGATAATAGTAATCCATTGAATAATCCTAAGTATTTGAAATATTAACATAAGTTTGATTACACAGTACGTTGTTACGTATTAACAATATTAAATGTAATTAACAAACAATAAATACAATTTACAATTTTAAATATAAGTTTTTTAGATTTTGAGCGTAGTAAGGGAGCTATTGGTTTTACAATGTTGTTTATTTCTTTCTTCTTTTCTTTGTTCTAGTCTGTGAACACGGTTTTTCCTAGTAAACATTCTCCGATTTTTACGTGTAACAACTTTTCTGAAATCTCAAATTGTCTAGATTGTACTTTAGAGAAGTAATTTTCGACACCATGTTTCAAATAAAAGAACTTAAGTGAGATAAAACACGTAGGAAAACATACAATTTCACAATTTCATTATTTTATAAAAACACGGACGACGTTTTCTACCAGAAAAAATGGTTTAATCAAAAAATCATAAGATACTTTTTTTGTTGCCTTTTTGATTTACCTTCTTAAGGTATCATTACCAAAACTATTGAGTCACTTTTGAGATTTAAAGGAATTTTAATTTTCAGTAGTTTTTTGTTTTAATTCGATTATAAATACACGCAGAGACTTGAAACTTGGTAATAATACTTATATTGGACTTACCTAGAAGTGGTAAAATTTAAAAAATCATTGGACGATTTTTTTTAAAAAACTTTTTTACAGTGATACTTTATTTTTTTTTAAACTATAGAGCACTTTTATCCTAGAAAACTTGCTCCGATGTATAAGTGTAGTATTTTTTCTGAAAAAAAATTGTATCTATTTGTTATATACATAGGTCATTTTTTGATTTTTGAAACGGTATTTAAAATAAAATCGTTTAACAGGAGAAAAAAATAAGATTTTTTCACGATTTCGTTATTTTAAATCAGTACTTACCAAGGTTTCTAATATGGCTCCAATTGAAAAACGACAAAAAACTTTAGTTAGTTTTCATAATAATCGGGAAAAAACGTAGAAAGATTTAGTAAAAAATACGGCACTTTAAATTATATATTACCGAACTGCGCTCAGAATCATCTTTCGCCAGCAATAGTTTATCGTTGCTTACAGATATAAATGAAATAACCTTATGTATCTTACCTTCTACACTTCTCACCTACAACAGTGGCCGCACCTGTCCCCAGTATCAGCTCTTTTTTTTTTTTTTGTAGTATAAATAAATAAACACATTAACTAATCGCCTATTGGAAATAATCGGCTATTTAACCATGATCCAGGAATGTTCCTAATGAGCTACTTCTATTGTATATTAAAAATTCCACGAACATGTGATGTTTTTGTTCAAATTAATATTTATGTTGGATTTTTTAATTTCCGCCAGCTTTTTAACGAAATACTCAACTTTTATGTTTAAGTAGAAAGTAGAAGCACTATTATGTATAGCGGAATTTAAAAAGTATAGCATACATTACTTCCCCCCAGTAAATAAGATATAAGATATAATAAGGGAAATTTGATCATACAATACTATTTGAAAAACTATGTATAATATTATAATATTATTGATCAGACACAATTTATTACAGTAAAATTTTCACTATTTCAGAGAAAATTCAATAAGAATTGAAAATTCTAAACGAGATTTTTATTGTTTAATTGTATAAAACAGCTAAATTCAATTTAAACTCAAAGCCTATAATCGTAAATATAATTTTATACATTACGAGTTTAAAAGTATAATTTAGTTTATTTAGGCCGTTGTTATTTTTACATGTTAATAATATTAGTTATTATAGAGGAAACTTGAAATAATTGCATAATGTAATTAACTAATACACTCTTCGTTTACGTAACATAATATTTATGACAAACATTGTTCAATTCAGTTAATTGATAATACAATAAATATTAAATTTGCCTTGTTCAGTGTCTGCATAGGGGAAAAAATGTTGTTGAAAAAAATTATGTTACCAGTATATATTGTTTATATCGTAGATTTTTAAGTTTATTTTGTAATAATATTATAATTTAAACCAAATAACACTGTTAGCAAATTTCAACGAAAATTCATTAAAAAAGCTGTTGATGGAATGTTGTAAACGTTCCTGTTTTTTTTTTCAATTCTGTTCGTCAAAGGACAATGAACAAAAGGATCATGAAGTATTGCGATTTTTGTAATTCCTGCTTGTCCTTTATTTTAAATTACATAACTCCAGTTTTTAACAAAACGGATTGTAACTTTTTATGCTACTCAGTTAGCCATAAGTCATTGGAACCCTGGTTTACAGTTGCTCGACTACCATTGCATGGTTCCCAAATAGTTTTGCTGCATTATTTCTAATCCCAAATTTCAGTTTTCAGCTATAATATCGTTAAAATTACACTAAATACTCCTAAAAAATTGAAATTTGGCAACCCAGGTGTCTAGAAGATGAATTTATATAAGGTTAACAAAAAGCCTTCCATCGCCGCTGTCCGTCTCTCTGACCTCCATTTAATTTGTTAGTTTTTTCTTTTTTTTTTTTTTTGATGATTTTTAAGAATAAAGGCGTTATTAGGAAGACCTTTGTGAGAAAGGAAAATATGGTGAGAAAATATATAGAGGCCTTAGATGGGGATTCAAATTAGAAGAAACGAGCAACCGACAGAGATGACTGGAGGAATAAGTGTTTGTTGGGATGATTGTTTACCGAAAGAAGAATAATATATTCAAGTTCGATTTTTTTTTTTTTTTATCATCTAAATTCTAAAGGACGACATTTTTTTACGTAAGGTGAAACGATTTTCGATTTTTTAATTGTTAGGATTGATTCTTAATTAAATTACAATACACTATTTTTGATTTAGAGAACCGTGTTTTAATTGATTACCGATAGAACCTAACCTGACCAAATAAAAAAAAAAATGATAAGGTATCCCTTGTCATATTAAACATTTCTTAAGCCAAAATTGCATGTGTCAAATATCAAAGGAAATCTACATTTCGTATTCAAAATGATTAAATTTAATTTCCGATAAATATAATATTGTTTAACAATAACGGTTTTTAGTCACAATATTTTATTACACAATAAGTTTGATCGTAATAATAATTTATTTTTCGTGCACACAACTTGACAGAAAAATGACAAATTCCAGACGGGTTTTAAGATGGAAACTACCTCGTAAATTTATACCAGGATTTAATGCTACGTATATATTTCGCGTATATACGTATATATATATATATATATAACCCCAAATAACGTGCCATGAGATATTATGTGCATTGCTCGTAATATTAAAGTGTGACATTTTCTCGACATTGTCCAAAGACACACATACACGCATAGTATTTTTATTTTATTGTTCTCGACGGGATAAAAATTTATAAAAAAAAAAAAAAAATGAATAAACAAAACGTCCTGCACGTCAGCCGGCAGTATAGTAATATCGCCATCGACAGCGAAATATTACGGTACGGGAGCTTTTCAGGGTCGGCATCCGAAAAAAAAAGCGATGGCGTTGTAAATTCTTATCTATCTCTCATTTCCGCGTAACCCTTTATTTCTTCTTTGTCGGCGGTGGTGTTGTTATCGTTTCACGCGTTTCGCACAAGTTGATTGGAACCGGCGGCGAATATATCGCGGTGTACTTGCTTTAAAAATTAACGTAACGTTGAAATCACCGATAGTGTAAGGGTTTACGGGAGACTGGTTGTTGAGTTTTTTTTTTTATATATATATATATTTTTTTTTTTTTTTTGTCCGACACACTCGATATTTCATTAACATGCGTGTTTTTAAGTGCGTTATTGTCAACTGTTGTCTTGAAAATAATAAATTTACGTTTGGTTGGAACAATTGTAAGGGTATGTCCCTCGTTATGTATACTATGTGTATATATAACGAGTAAATAAGCAGGGATAGGTACGCGTGTACATATACAAATATATGTACAGTCATTTTTCAGTTGCATAGTTTTTAAACTTTTTGTATTTAACCAACTGAACGTCCTTCTTGTTCCCCGTAAATATATACATTATTCTATATCATAACTCGAGTTCAATATTCATATCGATATTTTATAATTAATAACGAACAGGTAGAAAAAAAAACACAAGCAAAATAATATTAACAATATTACAAAAAACCCGAGCAAATGCTAAAATTAACTCAAACTGTCTAATTTAATTTTAAATTCTAAGTGGAGTGAGGAGTGTATTTGTTTTACATTGATGTTTATTTACTATTTTTTTCTGTGGGCAACTTTCCCACCAGCAATTTCACTCCGATTTAGAATAATAGAATTTTTTCTAAAAGTAAATCTTACTGGAAAGGTACTTTAGGGAGGTCATTTTTTGATTTTCCCAGGAGTTTTTCCAATAAATGAAAAAAACGGAAAATAGTTACAATATTAAAAAAAAAATATATATTAAATATATAATTAAATAAATAAATGCGTCGCCTTGAATATTATACGTTTATTGTGTTACCGGTTTCGAATTAAAAATTTATCTCCATATGTATTATATATTAAAGAAAATATATAATGCAATTACTTTATCAATAATATTACAAGCACCACTATCAATCAAATTCCGGTCAGAATCATTTTTTCGTTAGCAATAGTTAATTATTGCGTACAGATATACATTATTTTTCACGTTTACTAGCTTCCAAACTACTCACCTGCAACAGTGCTCTACCCACGTGTGAAATATGTCAGTTTTTTTTTTCTCATTTTTTTCATTAAACCGTAATTATTATTATAAAAAAATTTGAAAAAAAAAAAGAGAAGAAATCGGCATAATATTTGTCTAAAAATTAGTTATAGCCTAAAGTATGCTAATAATAGTTTTAAACTGAGATTAAATTTTAAATATATAGACAATAATGTTAAATTACAGAACATTTAAATTTATAATAATAATAATAATAATTAATGGAATTTTAAACAAAAATAATATTTAATTAACATCATTATTATTTTCATTGTTTTCCTATTATTAAAGTTCTCAAATCTTTCTAAATATTCATTTTAAATATTAATATAAATTACTTAGATCATAAAAAATAATTTGATTTTTTTTTTTTATATTTCTCTACACCCCCGAACTCAGTGAATATTTACATCTTAAAAACTAAAAAAAAAAAAAAAACTTAAGTATAAGTTTTGAAATTATTATTTAGTTAAGCAGAGAAGTCCAATAATTATTTGTCGTCACATTATTTTATTTTTGGTTTTTTTTTAATATAAGAATTATATTTCCGTATGTAGGTATGTAGATTCAAATAAATCTATTCGTTAATAACATGTAATCTTCAATTCGGTTCAATAATTTCCTAAATAAATAATTTCGGTATATACGACAAAGTATACACTTTTATATTTATATATTTATTTACGAGTATTAACTATTTTAATAATTTTATTTTAACTTTATTATTTTATTATTTACGGCAATACTTTTAAACTCAATTATTTTGTTTGATAAAACTATGAACAAATAGAAAATACAGTCGTTTTATATCTGATTTGCGATAAAAAATTGCAATATTTATATAATCATTTTAATATAGTAAATTTTGATACAATACATTTAGTTGTAGGTTTGTTTTATTTTGTATTTTCTAAGTTAATATTTTTTAAAAACAAAATATTTTAAATTTGTTTAGTATAGGAAACCTGGTGTAATTTAAAATATATACACCTACAATCAGGGGTATACTTATGAAGGAGGAGTTGTAGAGACCTGAAGTCATTCCTCTTCCAGAAATTGTATGAAAATAGTAATACTAAATAAAAAAAAGAATGAGTTCTGGGGTTGAGATTGGTAGGTATTTATGGAGGAAAACCAGTAAAAAAAAAAGAAAGAGTATCGCACATATCATAGTGAAACCAATATATTCTCCATTCCGCTCTCAATCTAAAAAATAACATTAAACCGTATACCCTCTTTAAAACACACAAATATTTACAAATATATATTTACAAATTATATACAAATTAGTTTATAAACAAACAAAACACTGATCAAATAGATATCTTGAAACCTATTTAATCTATTTCAATAATTAAGATAAAGTTATTTTATCATAAAACCGTTTTCAATAAAAACTGTATCTATCATTTACGTTTTACTTGGACGCTAATCTAAAAATAATTTATCAAATAAGAAACAAAACATGTCGCCGCATTTTAATAATAATAAAAGCAATTTCTTTGTTGGTCAATGTCATATTTTTTTTTTAAGTACACGTTTTATATGGTTTAATATGTATATTATGCATGAATTAATTTCCAACTTTAATCAAATTGACCGGATTAAAAATATGTAAATATATTTTGTACGTGTACCTAAATAATTAATCGTCATTGAGTGAAAATTTTTTTCCGTTAAATTTCTTTGGAAAATGTATTATATTATTAAATGTAATTCCTAGGGCTCGGATTTTAAGGCTATATAAACAATAAAAATAACACTGAAATGTGTAAAAAAAAAATGCAAACAAAAGCATTTGATTTATATAAAAAATCAATTGAAATATGAAAAAAAAAATGTAATAAGTTTATGCTAAATTTGACTAATGTGTATTAAAAAAAAAAAAATAACTGTCATATATTTACACATGTTTTCTTCTGAAAAACGTTGACGATTTGGGCTCAAAATGTATTTGTACATAGAGAATGGTCTTTTATAGACATTAAATTAACTTAGCATACCAAATACTCGATAGAGTATTTAGCGATATTGATTAATATAAATGATAATAAAACCTTATGTATATAAATATAAAAAAATAATTTAAAAATAATAACCACAATACGTCGTCTTCACAAGCTCTTATCGATTTATTGTACCGTTAATACGTACATAAAACTATCAGATCAAGTGAAATGTATACACAAAAAACAAAACAAAATAGTGTTCTTGGAACTTAAATGAAACGCGTTTTCACATAAAAAATATTTTTCTATGATTAAAAAAAAAAAAGCTTTTACCTTTAAACTAATGGAACCTATATGACAATTTTAAATCACCAAACAGATTATTTTGCTTTGTTACCCGTTGATTGGACTGATATAGTAAAAATGCGGACACCATGTGAAATAAAAATAAAAATAATAAATTAAACCACCCAATAAAAATAACAATCATCATGTAGCTTAACGGACTTGTCACGAATTTTGCCATGTTCGCTAAAAAATGTTTATCCGTATGTAATAGCTACGTGATATTAGGTATACCTACATACCAAAATATATATATAAAAAAAAAAACACGCAACAATATTAATAATAACAACACGATCGCAAAAAAGCTTTTATCAACAGCGCCTATTTGATAACACGATTGTAAATGTTTTAACCTAGCAGATTAAATGCAACGTTGACATATTGGTATTAGTGATTTTCGATTAACTGATAGTACTTGGGCCCAAAAAACTAATTTGAGAAATAAAGGATCTGGTTTAATGTATGTTGTTATTGTCTAAATCATACTTATTGCTACACAAAAAAATTAAATTATTGCATACAGACATTAAACTAGTGAAAGCCACATTGATATCGACTCAGTTATTTCAAATATTAACCAAACAAATTCTTCTATTTACTTAAACTCGTATACCTCGATAGATTGGTAATTAAACTTTTATAGTCATTTCACAACTTGACAACGTCGCACGACAAAATATTTTTCGTAACCGTTTCATTATTTTATTTTTAGATATAAAATCTTATATTATTTGATCCTCTGAATATTTTTCGAAATCGTGTTATTAAAAAGGCAAAACGTCTTCAATCGTATACATTCCATATTTAGTATTATAAGGATGACGTGTATTATAATATACCATATATGTATTATACTACTCTGACCCGAGTTTTCTATTAAATAAATTTATGATAACTACATGGTCAAACGAATCCTTCAGTGTATTGTATGCCACTGTGAACGTCTGTGGGTACCTACTTATATACTTATATTATAAAACCAATAGCTCTCATTTGCCGTCTTATACCCCAGTCATTTCCCACGTAAACCTTCCCCCCACCCATTTATATCAATCCGAAACGTCAATATTTCAAAAATATTTTCGTTGTTACTCTTTTTCTGCAGATTGCCATTGCTCCCCCCCTCCAGTAGCCCCTTCAAAATGATAGTACCAAAGTGATCATTAATACACAGTTCGACGAGTGTTTCTGACATTACAAACAACGATCGCTATACTTATATATTATTATGTGCTACGCTCTCAATATTCTACTTTAAAATTGCAGTGCTCGTAAATCAAACGTTATTGCGTACAGTACGTCCAAATAATAAATGCAATATAGTCTTAGATGATAAATTAGAAAAAAAGATTATATTTATTATATTATTTAAGTAATCTAACATTATAATTATTATTAATCTTACTAATAAAACAGACTTTTAAGTATTCAATGATTTTTGCCATAAATTAATAATCCCAGTTATTTCTTTGAAGAATTCACGATTCCGGATTGAAACAATTTTAACTACTTTTACTAAAATTACAACTACTCAAATTTCGGTTTAAACTACACATTTAAAAAATAATTATTATTTTTTGTATAAATTTAAAAAAAAAAAAAAATAACATATAAAATAGTTACAATTTAAGGCTCTAAAAATTATTACAAGAATTAAAAAAATTAAAAATATTAAACCGAAAAAAGTT